AGAAAATCTATCTGCTAGCGAAAAACATTACATCAAGTTTTGGTCACTTGGTTGCAATCCGACTGAGGATCCTCAGTCAGGTGAGTGTGAGCGTCTTTATTTAGCAGCATGCGCAGTGAACGTACATTACCAGTTCGAATTGAAAGAACAATATGTGCAGATGTAGTATCTGAAGGGCTTTTGATCAAGGGCACTGCAAAATAAAACCGCTCGCAGTCACCTGACTGTTGATTATTACCCGGATTGTTACTCGGATCAAAACTCAATGAGGATGGGTATCGCAAAGAAAACGAACACCCCTTTGATCGCGATTGTCCGCGCTTTGGTGCCTCTCTTGTATATAAGCTGAATTGTAAATATACTCTGGGAGAAAAAACAGTAGAGCTTTTGACATTTACAAGTCGGCTCCTCTGTGGGTGAGACGTTACTTTAGCATAGGCTGCGTAGTCGGTAATTCAGCACATTGACAGGTCACATAATGGATATTTGTTATATTTTATGACGGACTGTTTTTAACTTGTTCTCGTCGCTATGTTGCCAAATCAATGCCCTGTCTGACCCGTGAAGATCCGGGGTAGAATAGGTCTTTAGCAACCCATGATTGCCGCAAAATGCCACTATACTTGTCGTAAGACGCGACTAACGGGATCGGATGGTCAGACTCGCTGACTGGGTTGATGCATGTCATCGTATCTCAATTCCGTGGATCGATGCTCATGATGTCAATCACTGGATTGTCTGGTCCAGACTCGATTATTTACAGACCGCTGTCATATAGCTGGAATATTGCTGGGTGCGGCGTTCAACAACAAACAAACAAAGCCCTGTCTTAAACATAGTTCATACTTTGGCAGAGATGATTTACCTCAGGTCATACGTGCTATAGTAAGTGAGTGAGCTCGGTTTAACGCCGCTTTTAACAGTATTCCAGTTATATCACGGCGTGTCAGCTTAATGTGGGAGGAAAGCCCGAAGTGATGAAGGTCTTAGACGTTTACCACTTCGGTGAAACCCACGAGCACGGGTATGGTGCTGAGAAACCTAGAAACATAATCGGGGAGAACCGGGATTCAAACCCACAATCATAGGTTTCTGGCGTGCCCAAGGGACGCAGCTCTGCACAGCGAATCGCGGCGCCTTAGATGACTGGGCCACCCGTGCCCCCCATACGTGCTATATATAGCCGCTACAGTATGTAGATGACCTCACAGTGAGTGAGTGTGTTAAACTTTAACATTGCACCGGCATTGTTCCGGCCTTGTAGCGACGTGAACAAGTTATAGACTTTTAAAGCAAAACATCAATGTTGTTCATGACAGCAACTTGTCACACAGCACCTTAGGGGTGGGGATCATTCAGTATCCCAGCTTCCCACACGTTACCCCAGTCTGATTAACCTCATCACCCAAGCGACAAACCACTCTCAATTATCATAGGAAATGTTTTATTCTGGGTTAGATTATGTCCCCAGCAACATATGCTGACCGTTAGGGGCTACCAAATGGTTCGGGTGGTCAAACTCGATGAATTTTGGTTGATTGCGTGTCATCGTTCCCCGAAGTCGTGGATCCTGGCTCTGACATATTAATCACTGGATAATCAGCATGTGTTGATGAATGACTTTGAAATAGTCATGGTACTAGCTGTTCGCGAACAGGTGAGCGTGTCCTGTCAAAATGTTCCACAAAACATCCAGAAAGGATGGTTATTTTCTACTTAGCTCGAAAGAAACTCTCCGACAAAAGGCGCCGTAACCGTCATTTACACATTTCCTTTGTAATCAAGCTCCAATGGGTGACAACTTGAAAAATTATGATATATTTCAAAAACGAAACAAACGTCATTATTGGTTCATCTTAAATAATACCAAGGGGCAAAAAAAAAAGATTAATTCAATAAGTATGTGATATGATAATGATTGTCTTTATTAAAAACGTATAATGTGATCAAAGTCTTTTTATGTGGTTGTCTCTTCGTAAATATTGGCAACTCGAAAAACAATTTTTATCTTTAACGAGACATACACGGAAGATCTGTTTAATTTACATTTAAGATTTGATTCTGTATATTTTCAGTCATATGAGGACGTAATGCCCTGATTACGTAAGCACTGTGGGTAAACGTACCGTTTTAGACATACGTAGCGGTCCCTTAACGGAGTGGACCATTGGTCAAGTTGCTGTATTTCGCTTGGTACAGCTTTAATCCAGAGATGTGCAAGGATTTCCAGGTCAGAGGTTCCGATCCCATTTCGCCCCGATCATAATCCTTCGTCTGTCAGCACCGTAGTCATGTGACCCGTGAAGATTCCGGGGTAGAATAGGTCTTCAGCAACCGATACTTGCCGTAAAAGGCGACTTTGCTTGTCGTAAAAGGCGACTAACGGGATCGGGTGGTCAGACTCGCTGACTTGATTGATGCATGTCATCGATCCCAAATGCGTGGATCGATGCTCATGATATTAATCACTGGATTGTCTGGCCCAGACTCGATTATATACAGACCGCCGTCATATAGCTGGAATATTGCTGAGTGCAGCGTTACACAACCAACCAACTTTATGGATATGAATCGGAATTACTGTATGCTCACCTGTTCGTGAACACCTGGTGTCATCACTATTTGATAGTGATTCAGAAACACGTTTTAATGATATAGCCGGAAACGTACATCAGCAGGGATTTCTAATGAAAAAGGAAAGAGTAAAAATGTTTCGATTGTTAACTTCCTGACTTCTTGTTACATGTTTATAGCCATGGCTTCCCGTCTATACATTTAGATATATAGACAGCATGTCCCCGTGGGGATTCCGGATTAGAATGGGTCACCAGCAACCTATGCAGGTCGTACGAGGAAACTAAACGGATAGGGTGCTCAGGCACGAAGACCAGGCTGATAGCGTGTCATAGTTTCCTGACGGCATTGATCGTTGTCTATGGTTTAATCATGGATTTGTCAGGTCCAAACACTTTTCTTTACAGGCTACCGTTGTGTGGTTGGGCCATTGTGATTTAGACAAAAAACAAACAACAAACATTTTTGGCGGAACTTGTCAAGTATGGTATAGCAAGTTATTTGAATCCAACAAATTAGTCGTGTACAAAGAATATAAATCTGTGTTAACTGTTGAATATTATTTGTCCACACTAACATGTAAAGAATATAGACATTTATATGGCATTGAAAAACGTAAAAGACTCTGTTAGGTTAAATGCTACGAAGGCCTTATGGTGTCACTTTGGCATCAAAATTTTATTTTATTTTAAATCGAAATTGCTTTTTATATCAATTATTTGTTCGCAAATGTTCTCGTTATTACAGTTCTTTTCTCGTTATTTCGATTATTTTCTCGTTACTACAAGATTTTTCTCTCGATATTTTAAGTTTATTTTGATTACCGAAATTTCAAGTTTTTAAAATAAATTGATATAACGAGATTGTAGTATGGGGGGAAAATTCTAAGTATGGAACAAAATACTCGAAATTTCGAGTTTTTGTCTATCAACTTGCAATAACGAGCAAATAATTCAAAATTACCAGAAATTAATCGAAGTAACGAACAAATAATCGAAATTTCGATTTGTAGAAATATGTTTGAATAAACGAGAAAATAATCTAAATTGCCAAAATGTAATCGAAGTAAAGAGAAAGAAAATCAAAATTTCAAAAAAAAGTTTTAAAAAAATGAAATTACAAGGACTTTCGATTTGAGATAATACAATTATGCTACCAAAGTGGCACCATTAGGCTTTTGTAATACGCAGGAAGCTGAAACTGAATTGCACTTATTGTTAATATTTCGATGATATTAATTTAATTTAATATTCATCCATAATAATTTACTATAAACAGAATATCTCACTGCTTCAAGGTGGTCTTGTGGTAGAGCGTCCGCCCGGAGAGCGGAAGGTCCGGGGTTCGATCCCCGGCCGCGTCATACCAAAAGACGTTTAAAGATGGTACTTGTTGTTACCCTGTCTGGCGCTCGACATTAAGGGGCTAAAACAAGGACTGGTCGGCTCGGAGTCAGTATACTGTGTCTGAGTGGGGTATTCATGTTAAACTGCGGCATGGTATCTCAGTGAGCTAGCACTATAAATCGGCATCAGTCCGGACTAGTACAAGCAGCCACACACACACACACGTGCATGCACGTCTCTATATAAGTGCAATAATCTTGGACGCGACGTTAAACCCCATTTCACCTCACCTCACTGCTTCAAGATATACACTGTCGGGCAAAAGAAAGTATACACTTGAAATGTCAATTTGACCAAAAGATTTAAAACGTTATCAGAACGTAACAAGGCTAAATGAACACAGTCGCCGAAACACGACAAACTTAAGGTCCACAGCTATAATACCCGTACCAAATACAGCACCATCGCAAAACACGTTCTGGTCGGTTTCATTCCAGCCACCATGAAACATTGATGTAAACATGGATTCTTTTGCCCGGCAGTTTACACGTTTTCTCTGAAACGAACAGATGAACTGATGTTTTTTACACTTTTTCCCGCAAATTCAGCATGTTCAGCGAAATGTTTTGTTTTGTAACATCAATATTTTGTCTAAATGCACAGAAGCTCCACAGTGGTCTACGGTGATCCAATCTACTAAACATTTGTTGTTTAGGGTAATAGCGCTAATGATTACACTCGGGTATTGATCACGTCAATGCTGATTAAGGAGTAATATTTTTCAAGGTATTTTTGTACTGTTAATGTTTTTGCTTAACAACTACTCCCTATTGTTTAATCGTATGAACTGAGTTCTGTTTTGCTTCCAATTCGTCAGGAGCATATTATATATCCAAACTCTTTGGAAAGAAGAATGACATCTTCATGTGTAATATGCTCAATGTCGTTTTTTAAAACTATTTAATTCTTTCTGATTAGGCTTAAACTTAATTTTATGAAAATGTTCCCCTGACACAGCAGATTCGTTGATAAAGGCCCAGACTTGTTTACCTTCTGTTTAATCATTGATTTGGTTTTCAGATAGACAGGCATTGCGGGGCCATCAACGAGAGAGAGTATATGAGGAAGATCAACAATACAGCATGTCGGATATTGACAAGTCAGGACCCTTCTCAGTTTCGTTGTTGTCTGAAGATACAGTCCGCATTATTCCAGTGCAGGACAGTGGCCCATGCTTCTTGAATTCCGCACTCAGGTTGCTATGCGACGCTGATGCCAAAACACAAATCAAGATCTGTATGGACTGATGATGACTCGCTCACCAACGGTACATATAATTAAAAAGAGAACGACTTCCCTTCCCAACCAACCATAACTCCTTGAAACGATATTGAAGTTATCTTCCAAACAGGCTAATGCATTTTTAACCATTTAATAATATAGGAGGCTATCGCTACTATATATATGGTAATATGAAAGTTAACATACCCAGAAATACATCAGTTAAAACTCCAAGAGACGACACAAGATTAAGGCCTTGAAACACACTACAAATCATATACTAGCATTCGAAAATTTGTCAGTGATCAGTCCATTAAGTGACAACCCATTAAGATGCACGTTTGACGAACGTTCCACCATGAATGCAGGCAGGGATGTTGGTGGGGTCAATATCTCGTCTGACTACAATTCAACCGCTCAGGAAAACAATCCATGGTATCAAACAGTTCTTCATTTTCAGACTGGAATTCTGATAGTTGTAGTCATTGTCGGACTTGTCGGCAATATTCTGGCGGCAGGAACATTCCTGAGTCCAAACCTCAGAAAAACGTCATGTTGTCTGTATCTGGCAACAAAATCCATCAACGATTTATTGTTCCTGTTGTCCCTGGTGATTGTGTGGCTCTATCGCCTGGACGTGCCAGTGTTTGAAACAATTGGAGTGTGTCAAGCGACGGTTTTTGTGACGTATACAACTGGTTTCCTGTCCGTGTGGTTTGTTGTGATAATTACGTGGGAGAACTTTATCAGGGTATCCCTTCCAAGTCACGTGGCACGCCTGTGTAATGTGAAACGTGCTAAATACACCATCGTAATCCTGATAATCATCTCTGTAGGAATGTATAGCTTCAGTCTATGGACAACAGGACTGATAAGTTCCCGGATTAATTCAAGTTGCCTTGTGTTTGAAAAATACGAAAAATTGCTGGTTGCCATGACGTGTGTTGACTCTATATTAACATTGGTTATTCCTCTTATTGTCATGGTTTTCTTGAACATAGCTATTTCTATCACTGCCATCCAATCCCATGAGCGCAGGAAGAGATTGTTTGAAAGCATTCCAATGACGTCCATACATAGGAGAAACGAGACTTCGGTGTTGGAAATGAAAGTTTCAAAACTGTTGTTTGCAGTTTCTATCATATTTCTTTTGCTTCATACGCCAAGCCATGTAATTAGAATTAAGATGATGGTACTACAGAGCATATATAAAACGAAGCCTAGTTTGAGTGACCGTGTTCTGCATAGAATCTTTGAACTGGTATACTACATGAACTTTTCAGTCCACTGCGGCGTGTATCTGGTTTTTGGTGACAATTTTAGGATGATTTTTAAACGATTGTATTGTTCGGGGTGTAAAAAGGCTGAAAACGCACAAATTCACACATCTTCTAAACGGTGTTCGGAGACGGAAGCGATGTTTGAACAATGCAAAAACATTGATATTGAGTGACCTGAAAGACGATGACACTACAAAACAAAGTGGAAAAACGTGACTGTCTTTGTAACATGACTGTACACATACTTTATTGTGTACTTTTCTATTAGTCCAAGCTAATGAATATACAGGTTTGTCGTGAATATATCCCCACAACGATTACATCACAGTATTACAATGCTAACTATTTCCTTCGTTGTCTCTTTTTCGTCAATGATAAGACGATTATTTTGACATTTATTTTTTGTAAAAGTTATATTTCTAATATTTGTAAAGGTTGAAGTAGCATTATGTTTTTGTTATAATGATGTATATTTTACTTGCCTATACACATCAACGAATATTAACAGGCCGTATTCATTTGTAGTATTATCTTTTTTCAGTCACCGTAAGGCTTACATGTTGCTAAAGCCACCTTGATGTTCATTCATTCATTCATTCATTCATTCATTCATTCATTCATTCATTCGTTCATTCATCCACCTTTTGTAACATTAAGTACATAGATATGTGTTTTTTTCTTGTTGACATTTCTTAAGATATCGTATCTGTAAACATAGTGTCATTTTCGTTTACTTAATTAGAATGCATAGAGGTTCCCTATATATAGGTCTCATATATGGCCCCTTATATGAGACGATGTATTGGCGATCTTTGGCTTGTTTAGTCATTCCGCTTTCACGGCAAAGCATGTTTTATTACGTAATACTATTGGTTTTCTGCTCAAAAGACATTGAATAGTGTTGGTTCCTTGTACTCAATGTGTTGGATAATAAATCAGGTAAACTTGACTGACATATTTAATATCAAAAGAGGTTGAAAAATAAAATATATTGTTATTCTACGCTGTTTGAAAACGTACCTTTAATAAATGTACAATCAATAACATGCATACACATATTTCTAACTCTCTCGACTAGTTCGGAACACAACATTTATAGCCTTTGCTAGCGTTAGATTAGTTTAGATATCTTATATCACTTCTTATGCTTGTTGTCATTAGTATCACTTCTGGTATGGTAAAATACTTGCCCAATGCGTTAACCTGGAACAAAAAATTCCATGCACCTAACTTAATAACATCATTAACACTTCCGGTTCAATTACATCACTTCCGGATTTACAAAAAACAGATACCCAATGTTTTACAACTTTGAAACAGAAAGTCTCATTCACCTAACGTAATAACGAACTTAAAAGTACTTCCAGTTTTAATGACATCAATGTCGGATTAAGGAACACCAATGACCACTTTTTCCACCGATGTATTAATTTGAAACTAAAAGTCCCATGTCTGTAAACACTTAATGACAAAGTTATCAGCAGTTCAGGTTTTAAAACATCACTCCCAATTTTGGCAAACAAATGTTATGCAAGGCGACCTGGAAAATAAAACGCCATAAGAATCAAACTGCGTTAAAAAGAAAGTAATCTGCACTTACGGTTAAAAGACATCACAGTTAGAGAGAATACATGCCATATCCAATGGTTGTACATGCCATATCCAGTGGTTGTACATGTCATATCCAGTGGTTGTACATGTCATATCCTGTGGTTGTACATGCCATATCCAGTTGTTGTACATGCCTTTCCAGTGATTGCACAAGTACATGTCCAGTGGTTGTACATGTAATATCCTGTGATTGTACATACCATATCCAGTAGTTGTACATGTCATATCCTGTGGTTGTACATGCCATATCCAGTTGTTGTACATGCCTTTCCAGTGATTGCACAAGTACATGTCCAGTGGTTGTACATGTAATATCCTGTGATTGTACATGCCATATCCAGTAGTTGTACATGCCATATCCAGTAGTTGTACATGCCATATCCAGTGATTGTACATGCCATATCCAGTGGTTGTACATGCCATATCCAGTGGTTGTACATGTCATATCCAGTGGTTGTAAATGCCATATCCAGTGGTTTTACATGCCATATCCAGTGGTTCTACATGCCATATCCAGTAGTTGTACATGCCATATACAGTAGTTGTACATGCCATATCCAGTAGTTGTACATGCCATATCCAGTGGTTGTACATGCCATATCCAGTAGTTGTACATGCCATATGCAGTGGTTCTACATGCCATATCCAGTGGTTGTACATGCTATATCCAGTAGTTGTACATGCCATATACAGTGGTTGTACATGCCATATCCAGTAGTTGTACATGCCATATCCAGTAGTTGTACATGCCATATACAGTAGTTGTACATGCCATATCCAGTGGTTTTACATGCCATATCCAGTGGTTTAAATGCCATATCCAGTGGTTGTACATGCCATATACAGTGGTTGTACATGCCATATCCAGTGGTTGTACATGCCATATCCAGTAGTTGTACATGCCATATCAAGTGGTTGTACATGCCATATCCAGTTGTGGTACATGCCATATCCAGTGGTTGTACATGCCATATCCAGTGACAAAGTTATCAGCAGTTCAGGTTTTAAAACATCACTCCCAATTTTGGCAAACACATGTTATGCAAGGCAACCTGGAAAATAAAACGCCATAAGAATCAAACTGCGTTAAAAAGAAAGTAATCTGCACTTACGGTTAAAAGACATCACGGTTAGGGAGAATACATGCCATATACAATGGTTGTACATGCCATATCCAGTGGTTGTACATGTTATATCCAGTAGTTGTACATGCCATATACAGTGGTTGTACATGTCATATCCAGTGGTTGTACATGCCATATCCTGTTGTGGTACATGCCATATCCAGTGGTTGTACGTGTCATATCCAGTTGTTGTACATGTCATATCCAGTAGTTGTACATGCCATATCCAATGGTTGTACATGCAATATCCAGTGGTTGTACATGTCATATCCAGTAGTTGTACATGTCATATCCAGTAGTTGTTCATGCCATATCCAGTGGTTGTACATGCCATATACAATGGTTGTACATGCCGTATCCAGTGGTTGTACATGCCATATCCAGTGGTTGTACATGCCATATCCAGTGGTTGTACATGCAATATCCAGTGGTTGTACATGCCATATCCAGTAGTTGTAAATGCCATATCCAGTGGTTGTTCATGCCATATCCAGTGGTTGTACATGCCATATACAGTAGTTGTACATGCCATATCCAGTTGTGGTACATGCCATATCTAGTGGTTGTACATGTCATATCCAGTGGTTGTACATGTCATATCCAGTAGTTGTACATGCCATATACAGTGGTTGTACATGCAATATCCAGTTGTGGTACATGCCATATCCAGTGGTTGTACATGCCATATCCAGTTGTTGTACATGCTATATCCAGTGGTTGTACAAGTACATGTCCAGTGGTTGTACATGCCATATCCAGTAGTTGTACATGCCATATCCAGTGGTTGTACATGCCATATCCAGTCAGCGTACATGCCATATCCAGTCATCGTACATGCCATATCCAGTTGTGGTACATGCCATATCCAGTCATCGTACATGCCATATCCAGTCATCGTACATGCCATATCCAGTCATCGTACATGCCATATCCAGTCATCGTACATGCCATATCAAGTCATCGTACATGCCATATCCAGTTGTGGTACATGCCATATCCAGTCATCGTACATGCCATATCCAGTCATCGTACATGCCATATCCAGTCATCGTACATGCCATATCCAGTCATCGTACATGCCATATCCAGTCATCGTACATGTCATATCCAGTCATGGTACATGCCATATCCAGTCATCGTACATGCCATGTATCCAGGTGTTGAACGTCCATGCATCCTGCTTCATTAATAAGAACGTTACGTGGATTTTCAGTATTATCACCTACTAATCACATTAATTAATTTTAGTCAAAAACGTGATGCTTATCAAAACACATGGAGGTGGTTGAGATTACAAAGCAACACATCACCTTGACCTTCATCGAAGGTCGCCCTATGACCCATTCGAAGGATGTACCACATTTCATCATACTATAGTCAATATTGTTTCATAATTCAGCTTAGAAAATGAAGCGATTATCACGTCTTTGTGCACCCGTGAAGATCCGGGTACAGAATAGGTCTTCAGCAACCCATGCTTGGCGTAACATGCGACTTTGTTTGTCGTAAAAGGCGACTATGCTTGTTGTTAAAGGCGACTAACGGGATCGGGTGGTCAGGCTCGCTGACTTGGTTGATACATGTCATCGATACCAATTGCGTGGACCGTCATATAGTTTGAATATCGCTGAGTGCGGCGTTAAACAGCAAACAAACAAACATACATTGATAGGGCTGTATATCAACAAATCACCGGCACACTTTCAAACATTGGTGACACACAGCAGGTCAGAGCGTTATTCAAACCCACAAACAGGTTCCAAATCTGTGCTGTAGTTTAAAACGTTAAAATATTATTGGAAATATAAACTGTATTTTTAATTAATACCAGTGTACATTAAAAAGTATCACTGAGAACCATGGTTCATGAGAGTATCCCTTGTGCGACGGTAACAGACAGCAAACCCTGACACACATTTTGATGACTCCTCTCTATATTAACCTGGGTTCAGTGCGGAGCGCCCTTAAGTCTCAACCCCGCTGTGAGGTTACGTATAACTGTATTAAAGAGTCAAGTTCTAAGTAATTAACAGTAAAAGTCACAGCGGGACTTCCTATGAAGATGAGTCGACTTGCACAATTCAAAATCTAAGTTTAGAATCAAAGAATGTCTTTAAGTGAGATAAGTGACGGGCGCCCCATCTTTCATAAGTAGTTCATAAGGTGCATCCCCATCATGTCTGTCGATGAAATCAGAATTTTTCAGTTCCATGTCTTAAAGCAAACTACTATTTTCAAGCATGTCTGAACTTCAGTCATCGGAGTTCTATGTCATCTAATTATGTTTGTGTTGCTCAACCTACCAGAGTGATATTTGACTTTCGCCAGTTCACATAAAATGAGTGAGTGAGTGATTATTGTCTTACGCTGCTTCCAGCAATATTTCGGGGGACACCAGAAATAAGCGAACCGTGAAGATCCGTGGTAGAATCGGTCTTCAGCAACCCATGCTTGCCGTAAAAGGCGACTTTGGTTTCCGTAAGAGGCGACTTACGGGATCGGGTGGTCAGGCTCGCTAACTTGGTTGATGCATGTCATCTATCCCATAGACATGGGTCGATGATCATGATATTAATCACTGGATTGTGTGGGGACCCACGACCGGGTCTTTGACGTGACGAGCGAACGTCTTCAGGTACGTCACCTGTCTTGTCACGTTCTTGCAGGTCACCCCGTTTTGGCGGATTGAACAAACTCAAGAAAACCAACAACCGGGACATGGTTTATCAAACATTCAAGACATATGAACGTGCAACTAAACCTCCGTAAAGTATTGTGCAATAACATTCGGTTGTATCAAACGTTTAACACCTACCGTACATTGTAAATTGTGTTTTGTAATGACAACTTCAATATATGTGATGTCAACTGTAGCTGTGGTGGTGTCTCCTGTAGTGGTGGTTGTGTCTCGTATAGTGGTGGTGTCTCGTATAGTTGTGGTGGTGTCACCTGTAGTTGTGGTGTCTCCTGTAGGGGTGGTTGTGTCTCGTATAGTGGTGGTGGTGTCTCCTGTAGTGGTGGTGGTGTCTCCTGTAGTGATGGTGTCTCCTGTAGTGGTGGTGGTGTCTCCTGAATGGTGGTGGTGTCTCCTGTAATGGTGGTTGTGTCACCTGTAGCTGTGGTGGTGTCTCCTGTAGTGGTGGTGGTGTCTCGTGTAGTGGTGGTATCTCCTGTAGGGGTGGTGGTGTCTCCTGTAGTGATGGTGTCTCGTGTAGTGATGGTGTCTCGTGTAGTGGTGGTGGTGTCTCGTGTAGTGGTGGTGGTGTCTACTGTAGGGGTGGTGGTGTCTCCTGTAGTGATGGTGTCTCGTGTAGTGGTGGTGGTGTCTCGTGTAGTGGTGCTGGTGTCTCCTGTAGTGGTGTATCACCTGTAGCGTTGGTGGTGTCTCCTGTAGTGGTGGTGGTGTCACCTGTAGCTGTTGTGGTGTCTCCTGTAGTGGTGGTAGTGTCTCCTGTAGTGGTGGTTGTGTCACCTGTAGTGATGGTTGTGTCTCCTGTAGTGGTGATGGTGTCTCCTGTAGTGGTTGTGTCTCCTGTAGTGGTGATGTCACCTGTAGCTGTGGTGTCTCCTGTAGCTGTGGTGATGTCTCGTGTAGTGGTGGTGTCTCGTATAGTGGTGGTGTCTCGTGTAGTGGTGGTGTCACCTGTAGCTGTGGTTGTGTCTCCTGTAGTTGTGGTGATGTCTCGTGTAGTGGTGGGGTATTGTGTAGTGGTGGTGTCACCTGTAGTGGTGGTGGTGTCACCTGTAGTTGTGGTGGGTGTCTCCTGTAGTGGTGGTGGTGTCACCTGTAGTTATGGTGGTGTCTCCTGTAGTTGTGGTGGTGTCTCCTGTAGTAGTGGTGGTGTCTCCTGTAGTGGTGGTGTCTCGTGTAGTGGTTGTGGTGATGTCTCGCGTAGCAGGTGGTTATGTCTCGTGTAGCAGGTGGTGGTGTCTCGCGTGGCAGGTGGTGGTGTCTTGTGTAGCAGCTGTCGATGTCTCGTGTAGCAGGTGTTGGTGTCTCGTGTAGCAGTTGGTGGTGTCTCGTGTAGCAGGTGGTGGTGTCTCGCGTAGCAGGTGGTGGTGTCTCGTGTAGCAGGTGGTGGTGACTCGTGTAGCAGGTGGTGGTGTCTCGTGTAGCAGTTGGTGGTGTCTCGTGTAGCAGGTGGTTATGTTTCGTGTACCAGGTGGTGGTGTCTTGTGTACCAGGTGGTGGTGTCTTGTGTAGCAGTTGGTGGTGTCTCGTGGAGCAGGTGGTGGTGTCTCGCGTAGCATGTTGTGGTGTCTCGCGTAGCATGAAGTGGTGTCTCGTGTAGCAGGTGGTGATGTCTTGTGTAGCAGGTGGTTATGTTTCGTGTAGCAGGTGATGGTGTCTCTCGGAGCAGGTGGTGGTGTCTCGTGGAGCAGGTGGTGGTGTCTCGCGTAGCATGTGGTGATGTCTCGCGTAGGATGTAGTGGTGTCTCGTGTAGCAGGTGGTTATGTTTCGTGTAGCAGGTGGTGGTGTCTCGCGTAGCAGGTGGTGGTGTCTCTCGTAGCAGGTGGTGGCGTCTCGCGTATCAGGTGGTGGTGTCTCGTGTAGCAGGTGGTGGTGTCTTGTGTAGCAGGTGGTGGTGTCTTGTGTAGCAGCTGTCGATGTCTCGCGTAGCAGGTGTTGGTGTCTTGTGTATCAGGTGGTGGTGTCTTGTGTAGCAGCTGTCGATGTCTCGCGTAGCAGGTGTTGGTGTCTTGTGTAACAGGTGGTGGTGTCTCGTGTAGCAGGTGGTTGTGTCTCGTGTAGCAGGTGTTGGTGTCTTGTGTAGCAGGTGGTGGTGTCTCGCGTAGCAAGTGGTGGTGTCTCGTGTAGCAGGTGATGGTGTCTCGTGTAGCAGTTGGTGGTGTCTCGTGTAGCAGGTGGTGGTGTCTTGTGAAGCAGGTGGTGGTGTCTCGCGTAGCAGGTGTTGGTGTCTTGTGTAGCAGGTGGTGGTGTCTTGTGTAACAGGTGTTGGTGTCTCGCGTAGCAGGTGGTGGTGTCTCGTGTAGCAGGTTGTGGTGTCTCGTGTAGCAGGTGGTGGTGTCATGTGTAGCAGGTGGTGGTGTCTCGTGTAGCAAGTGGTGTCTCGTGTAGCAGGTGTTGGTGTCTCGCGTGCCAGGTGTTGGTGTCTTGTGTAGCAGGTGGTGGTGTCTCGTGTAGCAGGTGTTGATGTCTTGTATAGCAGGTGGTGGTGTCTCGTGTAGCAGGTGGTGGTGTGTCTCGTAGCAGGTGGTGTCTCGTGTAGCAGGTGGTGGTGTCTTGTGTAGCAGGTGTTGGTGTCTCGCGTAGCAGGTGGTGGTGTCTCGCGTAGCAGGTGGTGGTGTCTCGTGTATCAGGTGGTGGTGTCTCGTGTAGCAGGTGGTAGTGTCTTGTGTAGCAGGTGGTGATGTCTCTCGTAGCAGGTGGTGTCTCGTGTAGCAGGCGGTGGTGTCTCGCGTGGCAGGTGGTGGTGTCTTGTGTAGCAGGTGGTGGTGTCTCGTGTAGCAGGTGTTGATGTCTTGTATAGCAGGTGGTGGTGTCTTGTGTAGCAGGTGGTGGTGTCTTGTGTAGCAGGTGGTTGTGTCTCGCGTATCAGGTGTTGGTGTCTCGTGTAGCAGGTGGTGGTGTCTCGTGTAGCAGGTGGTTGTGTCTCGTGTAGCAGGTGGTGGTGTCTTGTGTAGCAGGTGGTGGTGTCTCGCGTAGCAGGTGGTGGTGTCTCGTGTAGCAGGTGGTGGTGTCTCGCGTAGCAGGTGGTGATGTCTTATGTAACAGGTGGTGGTGTCTCGTGTAGCAGGTGGTGGTGTCTCGCGTAGCAGGTGGTGGTGTCTCGCGTAGCAGGTGGTGGTGTCTCGTGTAGCAGGTGGTGGTGTCTCGTGTAGCAGGTGGTGTTGTCTCGCGTAGCAGGTGTTGGTGTCTTGTGTAACAGGTGGTTGTGTCTTGTGTAACAGGTGTTGGTGTCTTGTGTAGCAGGTGTTGTATCGTGTAGCAGGTGATGATGGATTTCAGGAAAGGACTGTTGTTAAATCTGGTTTTGTCTGGTTTCCCCCAACAATTTGTAAAATATTATCTGTTGCTTAGTAATGATGTGCAAAACTAAACTGGTTCAATGAAAAACTGGCGTGAGAAATAAATTGAAGCCACAAGACCCCTACCATGTTTAAAATGTTGCAAATTTGTGCCGAAAAAAGCAAATATATTGATTTTCAAAGATCAGAGGTCTAAGATCAGCATTAGCAGTTTTTATTATGTACGTTTGTACACATTAAGTTCTAATTTGTGGAGTGAAGCCCATTTCCGGTGTCCCCCGCCGTGATATTGCTGGAATATTGCTAAAAGCGGCGTAAAACCATACCCACTCACTCTAATTTGTGACGCAGTGTACTAGTATATCCAAAATACAAAGTCTGTGTAGTTGAATAACAACATTTAATTGAATTACAAGTTGAACTCAGGATGTAAACGGTGTTTCTTCTTCAGTCTTTTGTGGAAGATGAGCCTCGTCTTCTCGTTCTGACTTCTTTAACAAATAGAGCATGTCAGTCCCCCCAGGTCGTCCATCTGTTGTATTGTCGACAGGCTGCTTCGTCTCATCCTAACACAATTAATAATACAGGTGAGAAACAATTCATTGTGTCCTTCTTATAAAGAAAGAATATACCATATTGAACATCATGGTAACAATGACGTCACAATGGTCTGCAAAGCATTGTGATGCAATTTCATTGCAGCGATATATACAATGTAGATATCGCTTGATCACACCCAAGCGATAAGTTTTGGATGATAAATAGAGATTACTACACGAGTGCCTGTCAGATACCATTTATCTTACGAGTTGTTTTAAAACGTCTCTAACGAGCGAAAGCATTTTGTCTGTTCTCATGATTGCAGTGTCGCATTTATACATAACACAGCGGTCATGAGTGACGTCATCCGACGGTCATGAGTGACGTCATCCGACGTACTGCTTACTATTCATAAATAATGTGACCCTAAACCTCCGCCATCTGTGGATTACAAAAGCGATGATGACAGTGAAAACAGGAAAAGATCAAAGAACCCGAAAGATGCCAAGTTTAAAAAATTCATCTCAAAGAAATGACAAAATATGTACAACAATGTATACAACTACCGTATGACATCACTTCCGGTGACCGACTTCTAGAAAATGGCGTGTTCACTGACAACAGGGATTTTCAGAGGAGGATTTTCGTTGATTGGGGGATGGTAGATACATAAATATGTCATGTAAGTAATCAGACACAATCAGACCATCTGCGTACTGTTATTTGTTTTAATGTTTTCCAATGTAACCAAGAGAATTTGTCAGAAATGTTGATAACTACCGTCGGCGATGTGCGTGACTTTGCGTCAGTAATGGCGTCACACAAGACGGAAACTTTTACGATTTCTGTTGAATTTCCCTGATCATTGTTATGCATATAATTTTAATTCCATAATTCGTGCTGCGATACTCTTCCCACGACTTTTCTCAAACGCATGCAACAATTAGACGAATTGATCTCTCAAAATGGGAGAGTGTAAAATCTGAATTTTGCTTCATTTACATTTCAACAAGTACAGTTTTCCGAGCACAGTGTTCGTTTCCACGCCTAATTTATTTCGCTTGATGTCATCTCGATAATTTGAATTGGTCAAAAAGACCATTTGTCTCTTCATTTTAAAATGTAGGAGGAATTCAGGGATGCATGTATCGCAGCTGAGTTTGAAATGTACGTGATCTAAAAGGCGTTTCCTAACCGGCATACGTGAAACGTCATTTTTGTGAACAGTATCCAATATGGCGGAAAGTGCACTTCGGCGTCGTGTTTTGGTATTTTCCAAAACATTCTAAACGATTCCAGGTTCCTCGGCGACGTTTCAGAATGGTGTTTTGGTGAAAAACAGATTCCCGTGATCATTAATGTGCTATTTTTGAAATTCAATCCTTCGACTTAATATCCGATATTTAGATTTCTTAACACACAGTAATTTTGCTTTGCCTAAAATGACAGTGGATGATATCACAGAAGAGGGAAATTCAAACAGAATTCAAAACTTTTAGTGGGCGTGATGTATTTCGAATTTTAGTCGACTTCGAAGTGAGGGTTGAAGAGGAGAGAAACATATATCGTCGGATCATATGTTTTCGGACATCAAACGTTCTCTGACGGCCATGTTTATCGCGAAGTACTCCCGCTATAACGAGGGTTGTGGTGTCAAAAGACTTTGTAACTACTCAGATGATGGCTTGATTTTTCGATAAAGCTGTCTTTGATAAGTGAATTCAATGTTTTACGGTTCTTGTGATTAGCGAATGTTTCTTAAGCGTCCGCAAACCGAGAACACGGGGATATATTTATTAACACTAGGTGGACATTCGACTGAAGCACGAGCAACTTATCAATGACTTACGATCTGGAAAGTAGTCCCTCATAATCTGACCTCAGGTCATCACCATGAAGTAGCCAAACACTGGCCTGGAATTTGATCTCACATATGTTTGATACCAGTTATCTCAAATGGGTTTCTCGCCCACAGGTGTGTACGAAAACACCGTCAAACGTTTGTAAGCGACGTTTCAAATCACGGTGACCACCTCTGATCGAAACAGCTGGTTTGATCACTGCGGAGGCTCATGTCAAAAGGGATTTCTTTTTTAATCATGTCGGCAAAAATGTTATTGTGTTTAAGTATTTTTTATTATAAGTATGGATAAATGCAGTTGTAGGTCACAAAATGCAGAGCTGCGGTTAGAACAATGTGCAAAGCTTATATATGGCCCCTTTTGACGTCACATGAATTGCGTCACAATATTTACATAATGACGTCATGCTACTTTTGTGATTTATACAACTACGGGTGCTTTACCAGTGCCGTTTTGAAAAGAAGGCGGTCCCTGTGACTTGCAATTGGAAGAGGTCGTTCAGTTTTACGGGTTGGTGTGAATGTAAGCGTCAGGCACGGACACACTAAACCCACGTGTTTGTTTCAACGTGTTACTGGTTACCATGTCACTTGACCTTTGCGTCGAGGTCGTAGTCGTGCTGATGAATGACAAAATGAAATTCCAAATCACCCGTGCTGTACCTATACACTCATATCATATTTCTTTTCGAAAGTTATTGAATATTGGACAAATCATGACATGTTTATTCTACTTTCGGATTCACAGATTCGAATGATTTCTCTGGCTTAATAAAAGCGAGAAACCCTTTCCATATTAAATAGAAATTTCGATATCTTTTTTTCAAATAAACGCATTCATAAAATAATTGAAATAAAGATAAATACCTCGAAATTTCGAGAAATCATCGAAATTGCAAGACAATAATCGAAGTAACGAGAAAATAAATTGAGATTTCATTTTTTTAAATAGATTCATTTTGGCGTAAAAGGCAAAAAACGAGGGAAGTAAGGAGAAAACACGCGAAATTGCGAAAATATAAACAATTAATTTAAATAAAGAGAAAATTCTTTTTCAAAAGTATGTATTAGAATCTGACTACCAAAGTGGCACCGTTAGGCTCTCATGTACAGGTAAGGCAACAAATGCATACACAATGTTAACACTCTCAGACCACATTCCGTGTAAGCACCAACTGTTACATTCAAGCAGAGTCACAGCGTGTGTGTGTGTGTGTTTGTGTGTGTGTGTGTGCGTGCGTGCGTGCGTGCGTGCGTGTCTGCGTGCGTGCGAGCGTGCGTGGGGGGTGGGGGTGGGGGGTGGGTGGGGGTCTGGGTGGCTCGGTGGGTGGGGGTCTGGGTGGCTCGGTGGGTGGGAGGCTTTGTGTGTGCATATGTGTATATGTAGTTTGACAAGAAAATTGGCAACAAGGTTAATCGTTTGGAGATAACTCCCTTTTCTTAATAAAAAAACTATTTGCATTGATCTCAGTTGATTTCCAACTAACCCACACAGATTCGTTCACTTTCTTAAAATGACAAACAAATTAGTTTCATGTTAATGGTGATATCCTTTGAATGGATGCATGTTTTCTCATGTCATGTTCTATATGATCATGTCAGCAAGGTCTGGTTTTTACCTGCCTGGTTATAAGGCCACCCTGGTTACACTGCCATACCTACTGCTGGGCGAAAGGTGGCGATATATACACAGAGGGCTGTACACGTCATTGACCCAAACAAACAAACACGCAGAGACTCACCTTGTTTACCGCCTTGCTCTGCCAGCAACGGGGAATACAGCAACACAGCGCGTCAGTAAAAGACACCAAGTATCGGGGATCTACATCGTTGTTGCGGTTAAACCCTGCAGGATATATATACATGTAGTGAGTGAGTGAGTGAGTTGGGTTTTACGCCGGTTTTAACAGTATTCCAGCTATATCACAGCGTGTCAGCTTAATGTGGGAGGATAGCCCGAAGTGATACAGGTCTCAGACGTTTACCACTCCGGTGAAACCCACGAGCACGGGTATGGTACTTACAAGCCTAGAAACATAATCGGAGCGAACCGGGATTCGAACCCACAATCATAGGTTTCTGGCGTGTCCACGGGACGCAACTCTGCACAGCGAATCGCGACGCCTTAGACGGCTGGGTGGCCCGTGACCCCATATACATGTACGTAGCATCAGGGTAACATTGTTACACGTTCTTGCATTTTTTGTGTATGCTTTGTTTGTTTGTTGTTTAACGCCGCTTTCAACAATATTCCAGCTATTTGTCGGCAACCTCTAAATAATCAAGTCTGGTTCAGACAATCCAGTGATTGCTATCATGAGCATCGATCCACACAATTGGGATAAGAAGACATGCTTCAACCAAGTCAGCGAGCCTGACCACCCGATCCCGTTAGTCGTCTTTTACGACAAGCATACTCGCCTTTTACGGCAAGCATGGGTTGCCAAAGACCTATTCTATACCGGATCTTTACGGGTCTTGCAGATTTATTACCCATACTATTGGAAATAACCGAGTTCATAAAAACTGTATGCCCACATATCCCTTCATATACTTTTTTTTGCAGAGTATATATATATCCGTAACATAGCTGATATTTTTGGAATAATCGTGGTCATAAAATGGTATAAAGTGAGGGCCGAGTTGGGTCGGATGCCACTTTGAACAGTATTCCAGTTGTATCACGGTATGTCTGCTTGATGTGGGTAGAAAACCTCCGACGCACGTCTCAGACATTAACCACTTTGGCGAAACCCACGAGCACGGCTATGGTACTGACGAATCTAGAAACATAATCGGGGCGAACCGGAATTCAAACCCACGATCATAGGTGTTTGGTGAACCAAAGGGACGCAACTCTGCACAGGGAATTGCGGCGCTTCAGACGACTTGGCCACCCGTGCCCTCCACTAGTAAAGTGAAACATATTTACTCAATGATTCGTAAAGAAAACTAACCCCTCTGGACACACTACCTGTTCAATACATAGTAAAATGGAACGTTAGCAAGGCACCTGGCAACCTCGAGGAGTACACAGGTGTTTGGTGATATCTCGTAGGCTGCGATTGGACGACACTTTACATAGCGCTCATTGGTCCACGGTATCGAATGAAAACCAATGGCGAAGTAGGTAAAATGTGTTTGTGGGGTAAAATTACTGTCGCAAAATTTAAGCTTTTTTATAACTTTATCAACCCATAATAGACTTTCAAGGTGTGGCCACGTCTCACATTTTGTTATCAATCATAACTGAAGACGCTCCACGCACCTATAAACGGATATGGTAAAGATTTGTAACCACTGGAGGCTGAACACGCTAAATTTGTTATACAAACCAGTAATGGTACCAGTCCAGGTGGGAGTCAAGACCCTGTATATGATGAGAATATTTTTTACAGGGACAGGTGAAGGTGAACTAGGGTTTCGCGTTCAAGATTATTTCATTTAAATAACGACATGTGTGTGAGTGCGTGTGCGTGGAGGTGCATGGCTGCTTGTACAAGTCTGGCTGGGGTTATAGTGCTACACCACCGAGATACCATGCCGCAGTTTACCACGAATAGTGAGTGAGTGAGTGAGTGAGTATTGTTTTACGCCGCTTTAAGCAATATTCCAGCCGGCGGGGGACACCAGAAATGGGCTTCACACATTGTACCCATGTCGGGAATCGATCCCGGGTCTTTGGCGTGACGGGCGAACGCTTTAACCACTAGGCTACCCGACCGCCCTTAACACGAATAACCCACTCAGACACAATATACTGACTCCCAGCCAACCAGACCTTGGTTTTAGTCCTTTAATGCCGAGTGCCAGACAGAGTAACCCCTGACCTTTCGCTCTCCGGGCGGACGCTCTACCACTAGACCACGGAGGCGGTCCGTTACAGGAACAGGGTCACGTGATGACATAACGTTTTACAATCACCCACCAAGGGAGGCACTGTATCTCAGTACGACAATCTGTGAGTGAATGAGTGAGTAAGTGAGTATGATTGGCAGGCCACGTTTAGCCATATCCAAGCCAAATTACGAAAGCAGACACCAGAAATGGGTTTAATACATTAAACCTAAGTGGTGAAACGAAACCCAAACGAGCGAACACCGAAACACTTAGGCTACCCCACCGCCCCAGACACTCTCTAAATGAATAAGTGACCAAAATGTTTTTCGTTATTTTCATTATTGTCCAAAGTAACCAATGTTGAACCTGTCATCCAGCTGACTAGAAAACTTGTGACGAAGGCGACGCCAGCACCAAGAGCACTGAACCACGTGTATGAGAGTTGGTAGATGTGTTCGAACCACATTCTGAAATGTATGAATAGACACAATCTCATTAAAATCAGATCTTAGTTCTCGCTTTCTCTAAACAAATATCTGAGGACATCCCATTACGGGTCACGTCAGAACGACCTTTCGCGAACTTTGATCGACCACTGAAATAACAAACAAAAAGTCGACATAATAAGCCAATTGGAAAGCAGCTTTCTCGAGCTTTACGTCACTCGTTTCAACCTGTCGACTTCCATTTCAGACTACGCTTGAAAATTATGTTGACACAGTTCTAGAGTAAAATTTTGAAACCTGAACAAACGAACATTCCGGGATGTCTAATATATGGTTGAGATCGTATGGCAGTGCTTCCCACATACTGTGCAACGCCTCCTCCCTTCAAATGTTCATCCCATGGAAGCGAGAGATAATTTTGATGAATCAGAATTTCGACGGAAACTGTCGTTCGGTATACCCCGTGTTAACGTTTTCGAGGTTACATGATCAGACAACGCATTCCGACCGTCACTTTCATGATCTGGTAAGCGACGCTTTGATTGATCGGATGAAAGGTCGTTCTGACGTGACCCGTAATGGGATGATTTTAATGAGAATTGAATAGACATGTCATGGGGTTCGATAGTTAGGATTTATGTTTGTTTGTTTGTTTAACGCCGCAGTCATCGCTATTCCAGCTATATGACGGCACCTGTAAATAATCGAGTCTTGACCAGACAATCCAGTGATTGACATGATGAGCATCGATCTAAGCAGTTGGAATACGATGACATGCTACCAAGTCTGCGAGCCTCGCCTTAATCGTCTTTCACGCCAAACATTGTTTGCCGGAGACCACATCTAACTCGGATCTTCACGGGTTCGATAGTAAGGTAAAAATGTTCTGGAACATTCTGTAAAAGTTTTCTGTTTACACACACATTTAACTGCTCGCCAGACATGGTGAATGTGAAAAAAATTGTTTGGCATTTCTTTTAGGTAAAACATAACTCTAACATATCTCCCTCTTGGATATATATCAGGTTGTCGATGATATCAATATTAATGAAAATCTATCAAAAGATGATTTGCATCTCATATTGTCATATTTGATATCGGATATTATATATTAAACATTGTAAATTTAACCTGCGTCTATTTCAAAAATTTAATCAGCAGTGCTTTCCTGCTCTAGCCAGCAGTCATGGTGTCAACAGTCATTTGCTAAAACGTAACAGCAAATTAAATGGGGCACCCACAAGCGGATCGAAGGGAGGGGGGGGTTCCAGGCGATCCTAGATAATAATGTGTCCAAGTTTGTCAACGGTCTATCTTTTTGGCATACTGAATTCAGACACACTGTCACTGAGATTCAAGTACGACCCCCTCCCCTTTCAAACTCATTTAAACATCCCTGTATCACATCATCTAAAACATGTTTTTTCATGATATTTTTAATATTTTTGTCATATTTCGTTCAAGTTGATTTAGGAGAAACAGCGGCGGTACATATTTTTTAAAAGGGGTGTATCTTGTAAGCACAAATATACACGCAATTTGTGTTTGATTTAATAAGTTATTTGTTATCATGTTTTAATACGTTTTCAGAGATGATGATGAGGAGGGGGAGTGAGGATGATGATCATGATTTGGAGATTTTACGTGCGCTTTCCGACATTCTGCGTATTTTGCACACGGTGTTTTCAGTGAGTCAACACGATCCCTATAGTTGGTTTGTAGAGGCGAAAGCACAAAATGTGGCACACTTATGCATTGAACCATTCTGAACATTTCTGGATATGGATCCAAGATGACCGTGAACATGGCTGAAATCTCTATATACATATAAATAATTACTGTAATTTATCAGGATTAATTGCCAAAATGGTATTTATGATTCATGCTGCGCAACTTGGTGGTTAAAGAATTCCAAGATTGATACATTTATAATATGCTCCAATGGTCTATGCGTTCACACATACAGTTCTCGGTGAGGTTCCCCAACGGTGTACATAGATTTCGCTGACGTCAAAAGTGAGGTATTATATGCTGATGACGTCATGTTTTCAGCAAAGCACATGTCCGATGTAGCAGGAGGAAGCCATGGTGTCCGTATTTTCACATCAGAAAACGTGGATCCCATGCTGACCCACATAAGAACTATGGCTCCGACAATTGTTCCCACAAAACACCCCTGTAAAATATGTGAAAAATAGAATATATGAGAAATGGCGATCTTTCTGAATACAATTGATGTTCATGAGTTGCCCATGAGCCAGTGGTCTAAGTTACTAATATCCCTGATAGTGATTGAGTCAGTCAGTCAATTGAGTTTACCACCTCTTTGATCAATATTCCAGTTGTGTCACCGCTTGTCGGATTCATGTGATTCAAGCCCGAAATAATGCAGGTCCTAGACGTTTACCACTTTGGTGAAATCCACGAGCACGGGTATGGTGCTGACAAACCAAGAATCTATTCGGGGCGAAACGGGATTCGAACCAATAATCATAGGTTTCTGGCAAGCACAAGGGACGCAACTCTGCACAAATATACCAATCGGTGAGTGAGTGAGTTGGGTTTAACGCCGCTTTTAACACTATTCCAGTTATATCGCGGCGTGTCAGCTTCATGTGGGAGGAAAGCCCGAAGTAATGCAGGTCTCAGACGTTTAAATTTACCACTTCGATGAAACCCACGAGCATGGGTATGGTGCTGACAAACCTAGAAACATAATCGGGGCGAACCGGGATTCGAACCCAGAATCATAGGTTTCTGGCGTGCCCAAGGGACGCAACTCTGCACAACGAATCGCGGTGCCTTAGACGACTGAGCCACCCGTGACCCCTTATCCCTATGGAATATTCCTATTATATAATCCTTAAATCGCCACTAGTCGTATGCTCAATTAATAGCAGTAAATTACTGATTGTATACACACCCTATACAGGGACGGTCAAAATTAAATGTCATTGATGAATTGCATTTTAGGAGCAACACGTGGGTCCTAGCATGGCGAGAGGTAGAAGCAAGTGAGTGAGTGAGTGAGTGAGTATGGTTTTACGCCGCTTTTAGCAATATCCAAGCAATATCACGGCGGGGAACACCAGAAATGGGCTTCACACATTGTACCCATGTCGGGAATCGAACCCGGGTCTTCGGCGTGACGAGCGAACGCTTTAACCACTAGGCTACCCGACCGCCCCAGGTAACAGCAAGATCGTAGCTACATTTACGTGTATGTACTGCTCCGTTCTTACTATCCATCGAAAGTGACGTTAAGAGAATCGAACGGGCTTAGGCGTGACAGGCGAACGCTTTAACCACTAGGCTACCTCATCGTCCCCTGATCTGATACAGGGGACATTAAACAGTGAATGTCTTACCTTGGCGTTCGCCCAGGGACAGAAGAACGCTGTGAGGAACAGCCCAGTCAATGGACCAGTGAACGTGGCCAGAACACTACCGCTTATCTAGCAACAGAAACATATTTGTGAAAATAAAAAGTAGTGCATACACTGAAGATGGTTTCAGTCCTTTTCTGAGACGTGACTGTCATTTCAGACATATTTGCATACAAGGGCGTGTTCTTCTCCATCTCCAAGCCGTTTTCAGGTCGTTTAGAAAATGAAGTTTACGTTTGTAGGAGGTGAGGTGAAATGGGGTTTAACGTCGCGTTCAAGATTAGTGCACTTATGTAGCGACGTGAATGCACGTGTGTACGGTTGCTTGTATTAGTCCGGACTGATGCCGATTTATAGCGCTAACCCACTGAGATACCATGCCGCAGTTTAACATGAATACCCAACTCATACAAACAAATCCCGCCTCACAGTATTTTAGTGTTTGCGATTTCCTGCAGAAAAATAATTTTCGCTAACATTCCTTCTTTCTTTACTTTATGAAATGTACCAGATACATGCATATATCCCTAATAAATACGCTTACCGCATGTGAATCACATCCTTCGCCAATAACTATATATTGCAGCCTTAAAAAACTGCCGGAGAAAAGAAAGCATACACTTAAAAATTGGATTCGATAAACAACATGACAAACGTAATCAAAACATTACTTGGCAAAAAAATTTGCAAACGGTGCAAACGTTTGGACCAAAACACAGCTATGATTCCCGTATCTTGGATTCCTAGAAGTGACACTGTCGCGTTGTTGCATTGTCACATTGTCACATTGTCGCATTGTCACATTGTCACATTGTCACATCGTCACATTGTCACACTGTCGCATTGTCGCATTGTCACATTTTCACATTGTCGCATTGTCACATTGTCACATTGTCGCATTGTCCCATTGTCCCATTGTCGCATTGTCACATTGTCAAATTGTCACATTGTCACATTGTCACATTGTCGCATTGTCACATCGTCACATTGTCACATCGTGACATTGTCACATATGACATCGTCACATTGCCACATTGTCGCGTTGTCGCATTGTCATATTGTCACATTGTCGCATTGTCGCATTGTCACATTGTCGCGCTTTTGGAATTTTGACAGTTTTTGCTTGCTTTTTTTAAGGGTGACAACGCGACAATGTCCCTTCTAGAATCCATTCGTATCAAATACAACACCATCGAATAAACATTTCTTGTTCGTTTAATTTTTTGCCACCATTAAACATGGGTGTATATTTTTCTTTCGCCCGGTAGTATATTTTGCATGTTAGATACCTCGACAAGAGTTCCGCCGATTATCGTGGTTAAGATCGCCACACCGACAGACAGAATGCCGTAAATTACCACTGAAACAAACACGAAGCATAAGGACAGGTAGTTATTGTTAGAACACTGGAAGCGTTTAGCATCCCTCACAGTGCAGGATGCGCATCCCCCTATTGTTTCCGTACTTTACTACATATAAGGAGACCCGTGAAGATCCGGGGTAGAATAGGTCTTCAGCAACCCATGCCATGCTTGCCGTAAATGGCGACTATGCATGTCGTAAGAGACGAATTACGGGATCGGATGATCAGGTTCGCTGACTTGGTTGATGCATGTCATCGTAAACCAATAGCGTAGATCGATGCTCATGATATCAATCACTGGATTGTCTGGTCCAGACTCGATTTATATTTTGACTGTAGTCATATAGCTGGAATATTGCCAACGACCAACAAGCAACCAACTATATGTTTGCTTACGACGTAGATGTGTTTCATCCATTCGGTGCCTCGCATATACATTTAATTTAACAATACAGTAAACTACGGTTATAACGAACACGCTTATAACGATCTGACCGATATAACGAACTGATTTTGTAGTCCCTTCCATGTGTTGTATATATGCTGTATATATGCTTATAACGAACTACGGTTATAACGAACTAAAAATAAGTGGTCCCTTTCAGTTCGTAATAACCGTAGTTTACTGTATTTGAATAATCAGCGACAAAGTGAGTCGTTGAACAATAAACACAAATAAAATAAAAATACTCTGGTTATCAGGATCAATGACATGGACCATCATTCGACGCTAATGGGAGACGTTAACGTCGCTCGTAATATCATATCCTCTACTCTAATATTTACAGGCTGTCTTCACATAGCTAACATATTGCTGACTGCTGCTTACCTTAACAAGTAAATAGACATCTGAAAATATGTGGGAAGGGACATTTAACTACATAGGGTGTTGCCAACCGTCGTCTTTCTTTAGACCAGGCAACGCTACGTGACCTCGACCTCAAGGGCGTGTAACTCAGACATTCACCTGAAACTTTGGCTATGACCGTGGCCTTGAACTCGGATATGTTGGGCATGTGAGGCTTGAGGATGTCCTCCCAGGTCAAGGCCGACAGGCTGGACAGTCCAGAGGACACAGTGCTTAAATATCAAGCAGATCACCTTTGCATATGCCAGTCAACACAAGGGTATTCCAATGGCTATATCATCATAGAAATAATAAGAATAATGTTAATAAGAAGACGAATTATGATAATAATAGAGTGAATACATTTGAAAAGCTTCACCTGCCATGTATACTCGCTGCGCGACATCGTTACTCCGACCAGTGAGTTAGTGCGCGCTCGATTTGCGTTCTCAGCTCCCCGGGGAGTATACAACCAAAGCTGTCATCTCACCCTACTGAATGCCCATTGAAACCTGGACTTACAGGCCGCCGTGATATAGCTGGATTATGGCTGACTGCGGCGTTAAACAACATGCACTCAGTCAATACACTGCGATACTGCACCTGAGTGACGCACTGAAGAGAGCTGCCAGAAACAGTCCCGGCATTCCGGGTATCCCCTTGAAGATGTCCATGACGAGCAATGGAATAACCTGCAGATATTTCAATAAAGAGCATTCTGTTTAAAACTTATGACTTACCGCTTGGGATGCCAACCTAGCATCTACCGAGAGGACTTGGCACGGCCAATTAACAGTTCATTAAAGTATTATACTCGTACCAGTCAATCAAACTATATTTTGTACACATGAAACATGAATATGCACAAAACATGTTAAGGGACAGTGATGGTTACTCTTAAGATGATATCAATAATCATGTTATATTTGCATGTTTCTAACTGCAAAATTGTAAGTATTTATTTCTTCGCATTTAGTATCTGACATCTAGTGGTCGCAGGTTCAGAACTTTTGATAAATAACGTTTTGAATTGAAACATTAGGTGTTCACGCTAAGTTACATATAAGGCTCTGTGTAAAATAGGCATCGGAATTTAGAGGATGTTCTTAAGGCGCGAATCGTAGCTATGTATTAGCGACTACTGCGTGTCCGATAGTAAAAGCAGTACATGCCTTTAATTTTGCAGTACGTGTTTATTGTGTCTATTAACGGTACATCGTACCGCGACCCGCGAAGATCCGGGGTTGAATAGATCTTCGCAACCTATGCTTGCCGTAAAAAGCGACAATGCTTGTCGTTAGAGAGGACTAACGGGTTTGGGTGGTCAGGCCCGCTGACTTGGTTGATGCATGTCATCGTATCCCAACTGCGTAGATCGAAGCTAATGTCAGCAACTGGATTGTCAGGTCCAGACCCGATTATTTATAAACCGCCATCATACAGCTGGAATATTGCTGAGTGCGGCGTTAAACAACAAACAACAACAACATCGTACCGCATCAGTTTGAAGCATCTATAAAGAAGCAACCCACCTGATTTGGGTTGGTGATTTGACCTGAGAGAAGAGGGTCACATCTGACATGGGTGTAGTAGGCGTAGGCCACGATGCCCTCCACAATGGCCAGTGTGATGGTCAACCAGAACCCAGGAGCCATCACAAACACAACTCTGAAGCAGATGGATAGCATCGTATGTCACGCATCCAAGTGCATTCACTAAAACCAAGGGAGCAACCATTTTATATTCTCGGGTGGGGAGGAGAGGGGGGTTTACAGACCAGATATTTTTTCAGCTCCATCTGCAAAACCAGATAAAGTCATGCACCGTTGTGTCGAACGTTGAAGTGTCGATTTCATGGTTGTCTCGAAGTTAACTTGATCCTTGCGTATACCTTATTTATCATTTTCGTTTGTGTCGAACTTCGGATAACTCGATGTTATTACGTACGTCCCTTTTACTTCGGCACAACGGTGTTTGACTGAATTTGTTTGATTAAAACTATTAGCCTAATTTTTTTCTGCAATGCATCTTGAAACATTGTAATTTTTAGGTCAGGCAATTTATTTTTTTAACAGTCTGAAGCATAATTATTATTTTTCTAGAGTTTTCTGGAACAATTTTCTTTTTTCGAACCCCCAACGAGAGAACACATCAACTATCAGACTACCCCGTGTCACGCATTATTTGAAGAAGTGGGAATCATTACCAACACACTTGAAGACGAACATTTAGTCCAAGAAATAAAGTTATCTTTATTTTTAAATATTTATCAACAAAATATGACATTAATTCTAATGGTGTCCAGAATAATTGAGACTTGCCAAATTATTCTAAACTGGAGTTAGATTCAATTTTACCTGATTCTCTCGGGTCTGAGAGATACAGAGTTTGGATGAAGTAATGAGACTGTCTAGTACAACTGTGTGCCACACTGCTGGCAAACAGGCCTCCGTGTATCTTGCTGCGTAGTGCGTACCGGGTTAAACACAATCTGATGTATAAAAGAGTTTTGAGGAGGAAATATGTAAATGATTACTTCTTAGCTTCTTTCAGTGTAGGCGTGGAACACACTCTCTGTATCGTTGACTGGTTGAACGCTATTCCCGATGCCTTGAGGAAAGTACCAAGGTACAATCCCCAGAATGTATGCCGGACAGTGGGGTTCGGGTCAAAGCTGTACGAAAACAGGAAGTGATAAGTGGTTGTTAATACTGGCGATGGCAGTTTACCACCAATATATTACATACAGATGTATAGTAACTGGAAATGACAGTCATTTTAATATATTCCGAAATGATTTAATATCATTACAGAAGTATATCAAGACACCCATTGGCCCCTAAGTAAAACCGGTTTAAAACTTTCAACATGGAAACAATATACCATGATACGCCTGTCCATGTGGTATTGTACAGGGATGCCGAGACGTGGAATCCTAATGTAATAAAGATGCTAAAAAAAATTAATAATTAACCAAATTTCTAGGATCATTTACGTTTGCGTTTCACTCCGGGAATCCCTCCTTCCCGGGAGAATTGGTAGAATAGGTCTTCAGCACCCCATGCTTGCCCTAAAAGGCGACTATGCTTGCCGTTAGAGGCGACTAACGGGATCGGGTGGTCAGGCTCGCTGACTTTGTTGATGCATGTCATTGATCCCAATTGCATGGATCGATGCTTATGATATCAATCACTGTATTGTCTGGTCCAGACTCGATTATTTACAGACCGCCGTCATATAGCTGGAATATTGCTGTGTGCGGCGTAAAACAACAAACCAACCAACCAACCTTCTTTCAGGAAATCGACTCATGCGTTTTGAACGCCATGATCATCATACACTGTGACCGTCACTTAGGCGAGTAAGTGTGCTAGGTGTATCGTTGGTTTGGGCATGACCAGTGAGTAAATTAAAATTACTCCTCTGATAATCATTTCATATGGGACAGTTTTAACAAGTGTCTGATTTCTTTCCATATTTCGATGTGGTCGGTTTGGAAAGCGTCCACTTTTCACCCTAAAGGGCAAGTGAATTCAACATAACAACTTTGCAGATGTTGATACACTAGGGCATACTTAATCACAAATGCTTGACCAAAATTACATTTGAAAAAAGAGGATGAAAAACGACAGGTGAAATCGATATCGTACTGAGCGTGTGATTGGAGCACTGTCTCTTGGACATTTAAGTTCTTTATACGAATACTTTGAATTTTTCTCTCTCGGAAATTGGCTAGATGGTTCCAGGAAAATTGATATTCGCAACAAAATAGCAATATTTTTTTTCAGTTTACCTTCCATTGAAAGTAACATGGCGATACAGAAGACGAAGTGAGCGAACATGGTTTTACGTAGCTTTTTGTGATATTCCAACAATATCATACACTGTGAAGGTCACACGTTTTGTAAGAGTATGTATCCTTCAATTATTTTCTGACAGTGAGTGAGTGAGTAATGTTATTGCGCCGCATGCAGCAGGTTTTCAGCAATACAAATTAGGGGATCGCGGTCCTTCGAACGCTTTAACCACTAGACTATTCCACCTCATCACAAGAAAAGAAGTTGATTTATTCTTGCGTAATAATAACTATCAAGTCAGTATGACATATAATTATAAAGGTAGGGAGTGTTATGAGTGAGGGAGTGAGTGAGTTGGGTTTAACGACGCTTTTAACAGTATTCCAGTTATATCACGGCGTGTCAGCTTAATGTGGGAGGAATGCCCGAAGTGATGCAGGTCTCAGACGTTTACCATACATACATACATACATACATACATACATACATACATACATACATACATACATACATACATACATACATACATACATACATACATACATATATATATATACTTTTCATGGAGAATATATTAAATGTACTTAGTTTTCATGAAATGTATATTCCTACCTTTTTATATATTATGTTGCTTGTGTACAGGTTGCCAGTAATCACCACTGACCAATTACATTCTTCACTTCACACTGTCACAATTATAGTCTTCTTACCAATACCAACTCACAAGTACAAGCATGTTATTGACAACAACCATTTCTTTTCAAACCATGAGACATGAATGATTTAGCCTGTTAATTAGCATCTTGTCCATGAAGCACTGAACACTAATTTATAATTATATATAGATAACCTATTGTAAACCAGATCATGCCCATGTGCATTTAAGGCCACAGTTGGCCGCAATTTTGAGAACAGCATTGAATCACTCAGTCGTGCTAGGATTCACTGACTGTTAGTTCGAATTCCATATGTGCAATGGTTATGTTCATTGGTTTGTTAGAACCATACCCGTGTTTGTTGGTTTCATCAAAATTATAAAAGTCAACGACCTGTGTCATCTAATCTGACATATCGTGACGTAAGTTAAATAATGTTCAAAGCAGCGTGTCACTCACTCACTCACTCAGACTCTCACTCACTCACACACTAACTCACACACAGTGCAACTCACCCACTCACTCACACACACACATTGCTACTCCCTCACTCACTCACACTCTCACACACATTGCCACTCGGATACTCGGTATTATTACATTAAGACGAGTGATCCTGATATTTCGATGGAAACCCCATGTATGTATTACTAAACAAAGTCAGTTACTTGAATAGGTTGAGTCTCCCTCCCTCGTAGGCTGTGGTCCACACGGCTCCCACTCCTCCAACATCGATAGTTCCCTGCAGGCGACACAACACGACCCTCCATCACAAGTCTTGCATAATATTATGCATTTAGCTCGGCTGTCCTGCCTGCATGATAACTATTTACTACTGTCCTACCTGTGTGCTAACCAATTATCACTGCATTGCACTGTCTTACCTGCATAGTAACTAGTAAGAAGTGTCCTATTTGCAGGATAACTAATGTGTAATGTCCTACCTGTATGATAACCAATCTTATCATCAAAAACTTGCTCCTACGTGATAACTTATTAGTACAGTCATACCTGCTAAATAACTAATTAGTACTGCTCCACCTGCTTGATAGGTAATTAGTACTGTCCTACATGTTTGATAGCAAATTAGTACTGTCCTACCTACTTGATAGCAAATAAGTACTGTCCTACATGCTTGATAGCAAATTAGTACGGTCCTACCTGCTTGATAACTTATTAGTACTGCTCTAAATGCTTAACAGCTAATTAGTACTTCTCTACCTGCTTGATAGCTAATACGTACTGCTCTATCTGCTTAATAACTAATTAATACTATCTCATTAGTACTGCTCTACCGGCTTGATATAGCTAATAAGTACTGTCTCAGATGCTTGATAAGTAATTAGTACAGTCCAACCTGCATGGTAGCTAATTTGTAGAGCCATACGTGCTTGATAAAAAAATCAGTACTGCTCTACCTGCTTGAAAACTAATTGCTACTGGCATACATGCATGATAACTAGTAATTATTATTGCCGTCCTACATGCATGATAGCTAATTAGTACAGCCCTACATGCTTGATAACTAATTAGTACTGCCCTACCCACTTGATAGCTAATTAGTACTGCTCTTCCTACTTGATCACTAATACGTACTGCTCTACCTGCTTGATAACTAATTAGTACTGTCCTACCCACTTGATAACAATTTTTTACAGTCCTACCTACTTGATCACTTATAAGTACTGTCCTACCTGCTTGATAACTAATTACTACAGTCCTACCTGCTTGATAGGTAGGTAGAATCGGTATTCTACCATGAATTTGGAATTTACTCGATTCTGATTGGTCAATCAGAGGCTATTAAATCACAATAAACCCCCTCTGATTGAAACATCTGGTTTGACGGCCGCATCACCGCGGAAGCTAATATTCATAGAATAGTACTTTTTTCAGTTATTGTCGGTAGGCATATTTAAATAACTATATCTACAATTACAGGTTACAAAATGCACAGATGCGGTTACTACAGTATTCAAAGGATGTGTGGCAATACATTTCGTGCAGACAAAACACGACAGAAATCAACAAAGGGAATGTATTTACGTTTTGGAGACAACAGAGAGCTTGAAATTTTGGCGCTTTTCTTTATACGACTGTGACGTCATATCTTTTGCGTCACAATGTGCCTGTCGTGCCTGCTTGATAAACTAATTAGTGCTGTCCTACATGCATGATAACTAATTACTACCGACCTACACGCATGATAATTAGTACTGTCCTACCTTGATGAGAACAGCAAACATGCCAGAGAACATAATGACGCACTGGAAGACGTCAGTCCAAATAACAGCTTTCAGGCCACCCTGAGGGAAACACATGACATCAATAATAATAATAATAATAATAATAATAATAATAATAATAATAATAATAATAATAATGTTGAGCCTAACCAGTCAGACTGTGCCAGGATCACCCAAACCCTCTTTGCTGCATTTATTATTTTAATCTGTAAATAATAATGATAATAATCTGGGTAATGCAGAAGGCTGTAGTGTTTGGGAGTCTTCACATTCTCCGAAAAGTTCTGGGTGGGTTTTAGTCCATTTGTGTGGCAATATCTCTTAGTTGTATACAAATAGACTGAATTATCAAGTCTTCACTTTGTTAACATTCTTACTTATTATGTTTTGTGTTTGTTTAACGCCACACTCGTCTTTGAGGTATATGACGGAGGTTTATAGTGAGTGCGTGAGTTTGGTTTTACGCCGCTTAAGGCAATATTCAAGCATTATCATGGCGGTGGACACCAGAAATGGGCTTCACAAATTGTACCCATGTCAGGATTCGAACCCGGGTCCTCGGCGTGACGAGCAATCGGTTTAACCACTAGGGTACCCGACCGACCCACGGAGGTTTGTAAATAATCGAGCCTGGACTTAATGATCGTCCGTCCACGCTGTCAAACCAAGTCAGCGAGCCTGACCACCCGATACATTAAGTCGCCTCTTACGACAAAGACAGGTTGGCGGGGACATATATTCTTAACGGAATTTATTCCCCACAGGAACAAAAAGCGTCTATCATATACACACAACACTAAGAAGAAGAAGAAGAAGAGGTAAAATGGGGTTTAACATCGCGTCCAAGATTGTTGCACTTATATAGCGACGTGCATGCACATGTGTGTGTCTGCTTGTACTAGCCCGGACTTATGCCGATTTATAGTGCTAGCACACTGAGATACCATGCCGCAGTTTCACATGAATACCCCACTCAGACACAGTATACTGAGTCCGAGCCGAGCCTTTTTGAACCCTTTAAGCCGAGCGCCAGACAGGGTAACAACAAGAACCATCTTTAAACGTCTATTGGTATGACGCGGGCGGAGATCGAACCCTGGACCTTCCTCTCTCCGGGCGGACGTTCTACCACTAGACCACGGAGGCGGTCTAGAAGAAGAAGTGTTTGAACTGTATATACTTATACTGTACCATTGACGTGTACATTATTGCGGCAGCTGCAACCAGGATGATGGACCAAAGCAAAGGAAATCCAGTCACTGAAATGAGGACAAGGTACACACGTGTTCCAACATGTCTACTGATTGATATTATGTTACTATCTTTTATTCTGCTGGACTATCTTCTTTCTTGTGTTCGAGTCACTATATATTTTCAGTGTGTTTATGCGGACGTGATTGCCTGTGTTTATGTTTCCAGTGCTAAATCCACCAATCCCATTAAAATAGATCGGTAATCAACAAGAAACATCAGAAAGAGGTTGTGTCAGGTGAACATCGAATGATCAATCTAAATAAAGTATCCGTAGGCTCTTCAGCCAATCAAACGTCAGCTTTCTAAAGCGTTTCGGCTTTGTCGGTTTACTCCTCTGATTCGGACATTGGATTTTAACAAGAATACCACACATATTCGTTGGATCTCCCGTACTGTATACATATGCCCTGACGTTCAGAAACACGTGGGTGAATATTTGAATGGTGTGGCCTTTATTATTTACATTCGCAACTGCTCTGTTTGTTTTCGAGAGAAAAATCAGACATGCTTCTTTGAATGCTTCACTATCCCGTAAAGGGAATTTAGAAGCTGCGGTACTTGACGGGGGTTTGTTTGGTTTGGTTTGGTTTGTTTGTTGTTTAACGCCGCACTCAGCAATATTCCATCTATATGACTGCGGTCTGTAAATAATCGAGATATTTTGAGTATCGATCCACGCAATTTTGATATGATGATATGCATCAACCACGTCAGCAAGCCTGACCATCCGATTCCGTTAGTCGCCTCTTACGACAAGCATAGTCGCCTTTTACGGCAAGCATGGGTTGCTGAAGACCTATTCTACCCCGGATCTTCACGGGTCTGGGGGGTTGTATCGTATCGGAGTCAAATACATGATTACGATGACATTGCTTAAATCACACGTGAATTAGCGTGTGATTAGCATTTCAGCAACTTCGGCGACTAAACGGATAGGGAGGTCAGGTTTTGCGACATGGTTGATTGCATACTTGTGAGTGAGCATAGTTTTACGCCGTATATTTCTGGCAGTATTTCAGCAATATCACTCCGGGTTTCACATATCGAACCCATGTGGGGATTCGTATATTTTTGGCAGTATTTCAGCAATATCACTCCGGGTTTCACATATTGAACCCATGTGGGGATTCGTATATTTTTGGCAGTATTTCAGCAATATCACTCCGGGTTTCACATATTGTACCCATGTGGGGATCGGATTCGTATATTTTTGGCAGTATTTCAGCAATATCACTCCGGGTTTCACATATTGTACCCATGTGGGGATCGGATTCGTATATTTTTGGCAGTATTTCAGCAATATCACTCCGGGTTTCACATATTGAACCCATGTGGGGATTCGTATATTTTTGGCAGTATTTCAGCAATATCACTCCGGGTTTCACATATTGTACCCATGTGGGGATCGGATTCGTATATTTTTGGCAGTATTTCAGCAATATCACTCCGGGTTTCACATATTGAACCCATGTGGGGATTCGTATATTTTTGGCAGTATTTCAGCAATATCACTCCGGGTTTCACATATTGAACCCATGTGGGGATTCGTATATTTTTGGCAGTATTTCAGCGATATCACTCCGGGTTTCACATATTGAACCCATGTGGGGATTCGTATATTTTTGGCAGTATTTCAGCAATATCACTCCGGGTTTCACATATTGAACCCATGTGTGGATTCGTATATTTTTGGCAGTATTTCAGCGATATCACTCCGGGTTTCACATATTGAACCCATGTGGGGATTCGTATATTTTTGGCAGTATTTCAGCAATATCACTCCGGGTTTCACATATTGTACCCATGTGGGGATCGGATTCGTATATTTTTGGCAGTATTTCAGCAATATCACTCCGGGTTTCACATATTGTACCCATGTTGGGATCGGATTCGTATATTTTTGGCAGTATTTCAGCGATATCACTCCGGGTTTCACATATTGTACCCATGTGGGGATTCGAATCCCCGGGCCTTCGGCGTGACAAGGGAAAGTTTTAACCAATAAGGTACCCCACCGCCCCTGATGACACCCAAACATTCCCCGACAGTTTCGGTATAAATCACTGCCTTGTTTCCTCCAGACTCGATTATCAACAGGTCGACGTCTTATGGCTGGCATGTGAGTGCGGCGTTCAGTAAGCATCAACCAAATAAAACTTGACTAATAGCATTCATACTGTTGATACGATTGTTTTCTAGGCCGTAGGAGAGAAAAACTGAATACAAAACGGACTACAAATTTTAGTTCGTTATAACCGTAGTTCGTAATAAGCATATATACAGCATATATACAACAAATGGCAGGGACCTAAAAACTCGTTCGTTATATCCGCCAGTTCGTTATAAGTGTGTTCGTTATAAACTTAGTTTACTGTACTTGACCACGAACGTGTGAGGAATTGAATCCAGTGTACGAGTGAAACCTTTAACCACTTGACTAGCTCCTCCCACCCTTCCATCAAATTCTATAACAAAGATTCATTGCATGCTGAAACTTAACTGCTTGGCAAAGGAAAGTATACACCCGACTTTGATAGTGGCTAAAAACAACCAAACAAGTCGTGGTCATTCGAGGTGATGTATACTGTGCAAAGAAAGTAGGGGATATTTTGTTTTGAGGTGAAACTATACAGGAAAGTACACATTGTCTGGCAATGGAAATAAGTGATTTATGTGGATAGAACATTTCCGAAGAAACCAAGCTCTCAAACCCAACATAGCGACAGTCATAGATCACGGAACTCGGGCAGCACGTGCAAGGGGTGGTATGCCATATTTACCATTGTCACTCAGACTCGGTTGGGGGGGCACGGGTGGCCCAGTCGTCTAAGGCGCAGCGATTCGCTGTGCAGAGTTGCGTCCCTGGACACGCCAGAAACCTATGATTGTGGGTTCGAATCCCGGTTCGCCCCGATTATGTTTGTAGGTTTGTTAGCACCATACCCGTGCTCGTGGGTTTCACCGAAGTGGTAAACGTCTGAGACCTGCATCACTTCGGGCTTTCCTCCACATTCAGCTGACACGCCGTGATATAACTGGAATACTGTTAAAAGCGGCGTTAAACCCAACTCAATCACTCACTCACTCAGACTCGGTTGTGAGCAGACGTATGCGCATAATGTTTTCTTTGAACCAAACGCTCAAAGGCAGCATTGATCACATGACGTTTGCAACGCGCTGAACGTTTACGTGCGATAGGCATGTTGCAGGTGGGCACACGTCAGAATCGTGTTGCCTCAACGCTGCATGTTTCTCAATCTGTCATCAGCACACTGTGGGGCCAATACCAACAAACACATAACGTCGATGATCGACGCCATTCTGGACGCCCTAGGGCACCAACTCCAGCCCAGGACAGATTAGTCAGATCGATGGCATAATTGAATCGGTTGCAAACTGCCACTCTGGGACCAACCACAGGCAACTGATGTTACAGTGCGTGCCCAGATGTCTGCACAGATGGCATTTGCGTGCACGACGTCCACGTGTCCTCTCACAACTTACTACACGTCATTTGAATCAGATGCGTCATCGACGTTGGGCTTCCATCGCCGAAGGAATCGAATTTGGAGACGTACAATCGAGCGTTGTGTGGACGTTAACGTCATATAGCATGATCGTTTGGGGGAAGGGTCCATAATGGTATGGGGTGGTATCACAATGACTGCGCTCCATATTGTCCATCAATACAATACTCAATACTCTCGGGAAAATATAATTGCTCCACTCGTGGTGCCATTTGAACAACATGTTGTGCAACGTTTCATCTTTCATGATGATAATGCACGTGCTCATCGTGCCAGAATTATGACCCAATTCCCCCCAAATCAAAACATCCATATCATGCAAGTCAGTCCCGACCGTTATCCTATTGAATACCCCTGGTACGTCATTGGCAGACGTGTACGCCAAGGTCAAAATCCCCCCACCACTCTCAATGAACTCGGTAGTGCTCTCACTGATGAGTGGAACAACATGAGTCAAGCTGACATTGATCGGTTCATGCGTGTTCATACATGTCTGGCCAATAGAGGTGCTTTTACCCGATATCAGTGACGTTGGCTGCAAATTTCGAGTTTGACCCCCATCCTCTTTAACGACCTAGTTCCCAACTATCTCATCACACCAACAATAAGAACCCCTTAGATCAGATCATCGCCTGCTGCTAAGCAGATATGATCATACAGTAAACTACGGTTAAAACGAACACGCTTATAACGAACTGACGGATATAACGAACTTACTTTTTGGTCCCGACTATTTGCTGTAGTTATGCTGTATATATGCTTTTAACGAACTACGGTTATAACGAACTAAAATTAGTAGTCCCTTTGAGTTCGTTATAACCGTAGTTTACTGTATGATTTCTATTCGCCAATACAATATAAATGAGAAGTCATATCTTGATGATTCCCTACTTTTGTAGCATAGTTTATTTGATACGGGTATGATAGCTGTGTTTTGACCTTACGCCCACAGTGTTTCCGGGCGAGTAACGTTTTGATAAGATCAGTAGATGTTTGGTCAAATCCAGTTTTGAGGCGTATACATTCTTTAGCTCGGCAGTATATAACGCTGTTGGGATCCGAAATTGGTATTTCTCATTTCTTGAGTGCCAACACCAAAGGACACAGAATTGCATATCAGAAGTAATGTGTTGTATTTACCATATCATTATCATTAATATAATTATACATTTAATGTGCTGCTACAGAAGCGCTCTTACACTTACTTACCTGCTTCGAGTGCTATAGCTGGCCCAAACAACACAACGCCCATGTAGAATATCTTGAACAAAAGAACACAAACTATCGTCATCATTTCGCGGGGATGTGGACTACGTTCTTCCATCGCCCGTGAATACGTTGGGCCGGTATGCTGAGAAGTGGTGACGCCTGTCCAGTTCAGTCAGTTCATGAAACGAGTCAATGCATTACTCGCGGACGTCAAACGAGCTTATTCTGTGCATGTACTTCGTGCGAACCCCACCATTGCCTGACACGGAAGCAATGTTTGTTTGTTTGTTTGTTGTTTAACGCCGCACTCAGCAATATTCAAGCTATATGACGGCGGTCTGTAAATAATCAAGTCTGGGCCAGACAATCTAGTGATTGACATCATGAGCATCGATCCACGCAATTGGGATCGATGACATGTATCAACCAAGTCAGCGAGCCTGACCACCCGATCCCGTTAGTCGCCTTTGACGACAAGCATAGTCACCTTTTACGGCAAGAATGGGTTGCTGAAGACCTATTCTACCCCGGAATCTTCACGGGTTCGGAAGCAATGGGTAGAGCACATTCCACTTATCTTCCCGAGGCAGAGCCTAGTTTCTACCCTTGCCACATCAAGGCCACTTTTCATGACTCGACCCTGGCGCTACCTCGTGTAGATCACGAGTTGTGCCCCTTGTAATGAAAACGTGATATCCAAACAGATCGTTGTTCTTATCTCGTATAGCCTAACAAAAGTGGCACAGACAACCACAGGCGACAACCATAGGCTACGACCTCGTCGATCAAATAACGAAAACATTCGCGATTTCATCCCTGACACAAAAACATAGGCAATCTTTAGGGGTTTAAAAGATGAACAATACAAATTTGTGTCAACAAAGACAGGTATACTTTCATACGAAGCAGTAACAGTCGTGGATGTTGATTTTGTGTAACGTTCTCTGATTGGACTATCGATATGTGCGATAGTCCAATCATATTTAGCACAGGAATGTGGGCTTGATTTGGCAAGGTTGGAAACAAAGAATTTCTAAAAAAATCTAATGGGCGCTCTTGCCTCGGGAAGATCAAACAACAAGAAGTTGGCATGATCCACAAGATGTCGAGTGAGAAACATTGCCCTGTGAGCACTCATTTGTAACGTTGATTTCCTCTCGCTTGAGCCAGCCCGTTAGTTACATTAGCGACTACACCGGCTATCGGCCGTATGTATTCACGGGGGATGGATAAACGTACGGTGCTAGTGAGTAAGTGAGTATAGTTTTACCCCGCTTTTATCAATATTCCAGCAATGTCACAGCGGGAAACGCCAGAAAAGGACTCACACGTTGTACCCATGTGCGGAATTGAACCGCGTCTTGGGCGTGACAGTGAATGCTTTAACCACCCATTAACGAGGGGAACACACTGATCCAGGCGCATCTGCTTAGAGAGAACGTTTTCATCATTTTCAGCTATCGCCAATTTGGTGAACCGGTTTTGTGACAAATTCTGTTCGTTCATGACAATTTCGTTTTGTGTTTTGCCATCACGACTATACAGTAGTCGATCGTCTAGGTACTTCAGTGCAATGTCGCACCGTATAATTGGAAATCCAAAATCATTGAGTGTTAACTTGTCAAAATAATTATTTCATAAAATTATCTTCTAAAAGGACAACACATTAATGCAAAGTAAGCCTTACAAACATATGTGTATTTTTCTATTTGTTAAAGGGTATTCAGTGTTAAATTGCATTGTGGACCTGTTTCAAATGTTAAATTATCACTCATTGGGTGACAATTATAACCACTTTGTACAGAGATATCAGAGTAATCTCTAAGTCATATGCATCTTTTGTATATTTTTATATTCAAAATGTCACATCATATTTATTTACGAATAATTCAAAAGTACACGTAAAGCTTTGAAACTGTGAAGGACATTTCCAAATTTGACGCATCAATGCCAAAAATTATGTCCGATGCAGTTCACTATTTGGACTGATACCACATGCTCCCGAGTTTTTTAGGTGAGAATTTAGTTGCCTCTGCGTGTGTTTGTGAAGGATGCCACCGGCGGGGCAGTATACGCTTGCCTTTTAATTTCGCAAGCACCTGGTATCATCACTATTTGATTATTTACTTTTATTGACAGGAAATAATTTTCCTTTACGTTACTTACGTAGTGTAATATTCCTAGTGACGTCCCAATCAGGCGAATAGAGCGGGACTTGAAACGCCCATCAAGGTACTGAAACAATACAAATATGCACGGTTAAATATATGTAATTTGTTGTAGCATAATGTCGATATATTTTTTTCCAAGACATTCGAATACACTATTTTCATATTTATCCACAATGAAATCACGCTTCCTTTCACAGATACCCATTTAGGTCATGTCAGAGACCAGCATACATACATGTGTCCATTAACTCTTGCAAACACATGTCCCGATAAAGTTGAATTATGAAGCCCCACTTGACTTGCATTTGCATGTGTTTGTGCTATCATCACGATTGAACAGTCATTCATAAACACGTGGCCATGATGTAGTCGGAATTGTACAATGGACTCTTTTTATAGCCGAGATTTATTATAATATAATTATGGAAGTGTTTATTTTGTATTTCTAATTTACGGGAACACATTTCCATTGATGTGCGGGAACTTACTACTACGTCATAACTGTCCCGATACAATTTTAAGTTGAATAAGGAGTGAGTGAGTATGGTTTTACGCCGCTTTTAGTAATGTTCCAGCAATATATACGGCGGGGGACACCAGAAATGGGCTTCACACATTGTACCCATGTCGGGAATCGAACCCGTGTCTTCGGCGTGACGAGCGAACGCTTTAACCACTAGGCTAACCGGCCGCCCCTTAAGTTGTATAAGGAGTGAGTGAGTATGGTTTTACGCCGCTTTTAGCAATGTTCCAGCAATATCACGGCGGGGGACACCAGAAATGGGCTTCACACATTGTACCCATGTCGGGAATCGAACCCGGGTCTTCGGCGTAACGAGCGAACGCTTTAACCACTAGGCTACCCGACCGCCCCTTAAGTTGAATAAGGAGTGGGTGAGTATGGTTTTACGCCGCTTTTAGCAATGTTCAAGCAATATCACGGCGGGGGACACCAGAAATGGGTATTGAATAAGGAAGCCTAATCACATGATACATAACCTTAAAATAGGACGAGTCCCAGAACAGGGCTTTTCTTTTTAGGAGATCAGAGAAAAGAGTAACAAAGGTCTTGGCCAACTGTAAATGGCAACTTCTCAAGTAACGAATAGGGGCGGTCGGGTAGCCTAGTGGTTAAAGCGTTCGCTCGTCACGCCGAATACCCGGGTTCGATTCCCGACATGGGTACAATGTGTGAAGCCCATTTCTGGTGTCCCCCGGCGTAAAACCATATTCATTCATTCATTCAAGTAACGAATACACTTTGTCATGTGTGTACTTCCTAATTCTAAAATCGGTGCTAACATTATGCAAATCTAGTTGGCAGCGCAATATGACACTGACATACCTCATAAGCACTGGTGACTTTCAGTGGGTGTATCATTGGCACAAGTACCCTGTTGGTGAGAAGAAGTACTGTAAACCATCCGCACATGCCGATCCAGATCTGAGCCCCGTACACGTACACCTCTGCAGGGAGGCCCAGCATCATGATGGACGACTCAAACGACACCATGAGTGATAAGGCAACAGGGATGAACTTCATGGCACGTCCACCGACCAGAAACTCGGATGTTGTTCGCTGTCGTCCACCAGACAGAGCAAAGTAAAGTCCTATGCCCAGTGAGACGAAGATGGTGGCGCCGAACACCACGTAGTCGACGATGTGGAAGCTGTACCTGCTGGCGCCCATTGTGTTTTAGTTGGTGATGGATCGTCTCTGAAGTGTCTAGAATGACCCCAACGAGTGTTTGGTTTAATGTTAATAGCCGATTTGAACTGTTACAGTATTTATGTTAAATCACGGACAAGCAGCTTAATATGGGAAGACCTCCCGACAGTTTTACGCATTTACAACTTTTGGAGATCCACACGCACGGGTATGGCACTGACAAATCAGTGTGTGAGTGAGTTGGGTTTAACGCCGCTTTTTACAGTATTACAGTTATATCGCGGCGTGTCAGCTTAATGTGGGAGGAAAGCCCCAAGTGATGCAGGTCTTAGTCGTTTACCACCTCAGTGACCTACGAGCACGGGTATGGTGCCCTCAAACCTAGAAACATAATCGGGGTGAACCGGGATTCGAACCCACAATCATATGTTTCTGGCGTGGCCAAGGGACGCAACTCTGCACAGCGAATCGCGGCGCCTTAGACGATTGGGCCAACCGTGCCCCCACACTGGCAAATCAAGTATCAGGATCAGAATAATGATTTATCTGGATACGTTTTATTGCCTTTGAGATGTATCTCCAATAAACTCAAAAGGAAATCTAATTTTGGTTTGTTATAATTATAGTTCGTTATAAGCACATGCACAGCATATATACAGACCAAATATTCGTCAGTTCGTTATAAGTGTGTTTGTTATAAACGTAGTTTACATGTAAATGTACAGTTCAAATCAGTCAATCAGAGTAATCACATTACAGTGCAATTAATGTTATTATTTAAAGAGAACAGTTTTGATTCGGAGATAAAAATACATAGAAACAACAACAATAACAACAACAATCATTATTATTATTATTATTATTATCATTATTATTAGTGCGTTGTATACAACACAACCATCAAGAGGTTAACTTGGGATTATCTTCACTTCTTTTACAAACTGACCTTCACGTCATCAATATGCTGTGTTACAGTGTTGTTTTGGTAATACATTAAATATTTCCTTTTCCAAGAAAAACATGTAAAACTGTAATTATTAATCTCATCTACATATTTCCTCTCCACGTTCGTCTCGCCAACCTAAATAAAATAATTCTGTTATAAAGGGGACAGAAATGTATATATGTTTAAAAATATTTGAAAATATCGATTATGTAAAAAATGTCCAGAAACGTATGAAACCGATGAATCACACTCGGAACAACAACGACAAACCAGCTCAACCATAAAGACTTCATTCCTTACTTGTTTTTCCCCTCATACGCAATGGTGGTCGATTACGTGCTTACCGCCTTACAATAGTAACAGCTTTTCACCCATCAGTTCCCCGGGCACTATGTTGGACGATACAAGTTGTTAAAATGTTATCAACACAGGTAAGGAAGTAAAACCACACCTACCGCTGCCGTCCTCAAGGGTGTCAGGATGACAAACATCTGCGTGTCTGTCAATATCATTATGTATGTATCAAAACAGAAACTGAAGACTCGGGTTAAAGGCAACGCGTGATAATGCATTTGTACCTGACACACTAATTATGCGTTGAAACAAACGGAGATGTTCACCAATGAACATGACGCATTTGACGTCACAATGGTCTCCAAAGCATTGGGAAACATTTGCATTTTTGCGATTGCTAGATCGCACCCAAGCGAAGTTTTGGATGATAAATCAACGACATGCAGTTGGGTAATGCCGACACAAGGTCTATTAACTAAAGTGCTTGTTAAACATGACACACTGACCTTAGAGAACTTTGAATCAGAACTACATGTGCTTTCTACACAAAAATACCATCAGAGAGCAACCAGACATGGAGTGTGTACACACTTCAAATAGGAACAGTCACACAAATTACAAACAAGACACAATCCCCACAATGTTTTGCAAACAAGGCATGCGCAAATGTACCCCCCATGCTTTGCAGACCATTGTGACGTCATCTGTAACCATGACGTCACAATCAAATGACACCACTTGTCTGCCACTGAAGCTGGTTAGTTGTACTTTTTGCCCAGAAGCACTCGTTATTTCTGTTAACAAAATAAAAAAGTGGTAGGAATGACTTTGGATGATAAACAGCATCGCACCCTCTTGTTGTTTACAATATATATCAATACTCGTCAACAAGGATTCAAACCTTTTGTTGATATAGTGGGTATAAACAAAACAAGACAAAGAAACCAAGAAAACGTGTTTGGTGCAGACAATCTAATGATGAAAATCAAGACGAATCTCAGTTTTGAAGCCAGGGCCAAGCCAGCCAAAACATTGAGAAATTCTTAGAAAATGTCAACTATACAATTATATAATAGTCCTATTATTTATAGTCCTCACACACAAATATATTACACACATCTAGCTGTCTTATTCAAGCACATCGGGAACACATGGTGTTGTGTAGAGTTGCGTCCCTTGGTCGTGCCAGTAACCTATGATCGTTGGTTCGAATCCCAGATTCACCCTGATCATGTTTGTTGTTTTGCCAGCACTATACACGCTTCTTTGATTTTACCAAAGTGGCATAAGTTTCAAACCTACATCACTTTCTTCCCAAATCAAGTTGTAACACAGCTCTACAATGAAATACTGTTCAAAACGCCTTTCAAACTCGCAGGTACCAAATGACATGATACGGTAGCTTCCGAGCTTTATTGACGACTGACGACCCGATCCCCCTTTCAAGTGGTTCTTCCGTCCATTATCCTCCCGGAGAGCGGAAGGTCCAAGGTTCGATCCCCGGCCGCGTCATACCAAAAGACGTTAAAAGATGGTGCTATTATTACGCTGTCTGGCGCTCGGCATTAAGGGGGTAAAACAAGGACTGGTCGGCTCGGAGTCAGTATACTGTGTCTGAGTGGGGTATTCATGTTAAACTGCGGCATGGTATCTCAGTGGGCTAAAACAAGGACTGGTCGGCTCGGAGTCAGTATACTGTGTCTGAGTGGGGTATTCATGTTAAACTCGGCATGGTATCTCAGTGGGCTAAAACAAGGACTGGTCGGCTTGGAGTCAGCATACAGTGTCTGAGTAGGGTATTCATGTTAAACTGCGGCATGGTATCTCAGTGGGCTAAAACAAGGACTGGTCGGCTCGAAGTCAGTGTACAGTGTCTTGCTGGGGTATTCATGTTAAACTGCGGCATAGTATCTCAGTGGGCTAAAACAAGGACTGGTCGGCTCGGAGTCAGTATACTGTGTCTGAGTGGGGTATTCATGTTAAACTGCGGCATGGTATCTCAGTGGGCTAAAACAAGGACTGGTCGGCTCGGAGTCAGTATACTGTGTCTGAGTGGGGTATTCATATTAAACTGCGGCATGGTATCTCAGTGGGCTAAAACAAGGACTGGTCGGCTCGAAGTCAGTACACAGTGTCTCAGTGCAATAGGCTCTGCGTAGGGTAGGTAGGAAGTGACAACATCAAGTCGATTGCTTGCGACATATACAACTTTACTTCATACAGGTAGATATATACACACCCGAAAACACTATATGCCAGGTCAGCACATAGTGGTAGTGGTTGTTGTCTTGGTCTTGGAGCACCTCGCCTAACCTGGATAGTCTCTCTCTCTCTCTCTCTCTCTCTCTCTCTCACTCTCTCTCTCTCTCCACAGCGGAAATGACGTCACCCACAGCGGAAATGACGTCATCATCATTTGCATTACGCTTGCAAGACAGTTCAGTCTTGTAGTTAGGGAAGAGGTGGAAAAAAGACGGTGCCAAATCTGGTGGAAAGGGAGGATATTCTATAAGATCAATGCCACAGTCATTGCAGCCATGGCGACATCAGACTAATGCATAGACGCATTATCCTGGTGGAACATCTCACCTTGAATTAAGTGAGTTTTCTCCAACGTTTAGGCTTAACACAGTCATGCAGGTGCCTAATACAAAGCAGCATTATATTGGTGGCTATCAATGGGAAAAGGGTTCGCCTTCTGAGGAGAGGGGACGTTAGAAGTTTCCACTGCTTTGACCGTTCTTTAGTCTCTGGCAGATCGGGCTGAATCTAAGACTCATGCAAGGTTACAAATCGCTGAACAACATCAGCTGGGTCTGCTTCAAAACGACGGACATTCTCATGAAGGAAGATGAACCTAGAACGTGGACCCAAAACTGTGGACCCAAAACTGTGGACCCCAGCGTGCTGAAACTTAATGTCATGCCCAGTTCATTTGTCAAAATGTCTCAACCCTTTTTTACTTTGGTTTTTGCTATGCAACGTGTGCTGAGTTGTCGGTCATCTATAAATCATATCATGTATTGTATCATTATCACTATGAATCCAATCATAAGGATGCAACGCCACATCTGAAGAGAGCCAGTGCTCGCCTAAGCACGTGATTTGTTTTCTACGATGTTCAAATGAACAGATCTTCTGAAAATACCTTTTTTACACCGTTTATTTCTACCTTGTCGTATAATTCTCGGTCATGCTCTCATGTGGTCCTCTTCACTTCTTTATAACGCGTACAATAACACACGTTGGTATTTGAAAACTTCGTCAGTCCATATCTTCGAATGTTTTATGCACCTTCCTGTTCCAGTTCTTTTTCTTCCCCATTGCGTCTTTCTCTGCCCAAATTAAAAAACACATCTGTCCATCCTGACGTGGTCTAAGTTCACCAATCGCCCCCACCCTTGCCACTGCCGTGAACAGTCTTGCAATGGGCGGTATCCAGGCCAATTCTCCAACTCTAGCTGCTATTGGAGTACATTTTCCATCAAATGGGAAGGACGCTTGGCTCTATCCGTTAACCGACAACCGACCAGTTGTACTCCAGATAGCCACTCTATGATGAGTGTTGACCATACCATTGCATCATAAAGATTTGCGAACGTTTGATGTTGCATACATCAAGTGGTTTGAAACTATCAGATCAAAGGCTCGAATATCCGACTTTGCAACAGTTTTGCAATTATCTCGGATTCCAGAAACGTTGAAAGGAGGCCCATATGGTCGTAACAGTCAGGTAAGATTAGCTTCTTTTTACCACAATACAAAGTAAACCTAGTTCTTGGGATTGACGGAATCCTGAAGTGCAAAACATTATTATTGATTTTCATTGTTATCCTTGTCTCTTGCAGATGGATTTCACTTTATGTCCATATGCATTTGGGTGACCCGGGTGACCCAGTCGTCTTAGGCGCCGTCATTCGCTGTGCAGAGTTGCGTCCCTTGGGCTCGCCAGAAACCTATGATTGTTGGTTCGAATCCTGGTTCGCCCCGATTATGTTTCTAGGTTTGTCAGAACAATACCCGTGTTCGTGGGTTTCACCGAAATGGTAAACGTCTGAGACCTGCATCCTTTCGGGCTTTCCTCCCATATTAAGCTGACACGCTGTGATATAACTGGAATACTGTTAAAAGCGGCGTTAAACCCAACTCACTCACTCACTCACCTTATAGTGACCATGACTGCTCTTGGATTCGGAGTTGGTATACTGTAATCAATACTGTATACAGAATCAGTTTGACATCAGGAACGCGAGAAAACACAAGGATTTGATGAAAAAAAATCGCCTAAAAACATAACCGCCTGCCTTGACGCCAGGACTCGTGAGCTTTCAAAAATAAATAAACGCCGAGCGGTTATTTAAGGATCTACGGCAGATGGACGCCGTCGGTGGCGGAAGTGTCATGGTTCGGGCAGGAATTTCAGAGGGAGGCCGCACCGACTTTGACATTGTCAACCAGCATAGGTTGATGGATACCTATTTTAGTTTGTCATGGTAGATTTGAGATAATTTACATAGTCTTCATTGAAGAGCTGTGCTCGGTTTCAATTTTATTGAAGCATGCTTAAATCTACAGGTTACCTAGTTCTACATTGACAACACAGCATGTTACCCCCTAAATCTATGAAAGAAACAAATTTGAGAGTTCGTAAAATATAACAATTTATTTCCACATATGAAGAACACAATTCCTATACAACATCAAGAACGCGTGTTATGACAGCGGAACTGACTTTTATGTTCCTTTCGTCTTTTGACGAACATCATTTTCTCAAATTCATTATAAAACAGTGTGCAAAGTAAATACGGTAGAGGACAAAAAGAATTCAGTTTCAAAGAGGTTAATGGTAGTCATGTGTTACCGTGTTGTTCAGGTAAAAAATTGGTTTGCCTTTGCATGTGTTTGTGATGGATGTAGGTTTTTCGTGAACACCTTGTACCATTACTATTTGATAGTGATTCATCAACAAATGCTTATGTAATAGTCGGTATACTGCAAAGAACTCCGCTTTTAGCAGATATTTCTTATAAATAGAAATGTTTTTGTCACTTTTATTTAAGACCCGTGAAGATTCCGGGGTAGAATAGGTATTCAGCAACCCATACTTGCCGTAAAAGGCGACTATGCTTGTCGTAAAAGGCGACTAACGGGATCGGGTGGTCAGGCTCGCTGACTTGGTTGATACATGTCATCGATCCTAATTGCGTGGATCGATGCTCATGATGTCAATCACTGGATTGTCTGGTCCAGACTCGATTATTTTACAGACCGCCGTCATATAGCTTGAATACTGCTGAAGGCGGCGTTAAACAACAAACAAACAAAAATTTATTTAATGTAACCTTTCAAATGTATATTCCTTCTAACATCCACGATAGGAACACATCTGAGAGTAGTACTGATTAATTACTTAAAGTAAGATAAATCGCATATTCAGCATTCTCCAGGGCTCGTATTTGGGCAAATCTACAACCACGTGACCCATTCCTGTTGTTCTCGCCATCTCAAATTACACGCCCTTAAGTTTCAGTTTGATTAGTGTAGGTTTACAGATGATGACGTCACAATTCAACTATTCCTGGTCAAGAAATAATATTTGTCCACAAAAACTGAACGATTTGAGGAGGCTGTTAGCCACTATGTGTAGTTGCCTAATTAAGGAACCGTTTCTCGTAAGGTGTCTATTGAGACCGACACGCTATCAAGGTTTGTGTCCGTCCTTCTCGTCCTTGATGTGAGAAGGAAGATGGGAAACCGGTTTGTCCTTTTCTGTATCAGCGAGAAGTGGTAGCTCTGTCTCGGTCGTCAGTCCGGGTTCTATATCAATCTCGGTATTGTTTATACTGCCCTGTCTTACAGACTTCTGAAACGGTAATGCATAAAATTGGGTTACCATATACAACGCTGACAAGTTTTATAAACAATATTTAACAAATTTATATAGATTAGATACTTGATATTGATGGCAACACAAGAGTGCAGTCAAAACAATTTTTTTTTCTTGATGCAATATTGTAACATGACATTAACACATTGGTAACATCCCATTACACTTCATGTCATGATGCTGGATATTTTTCAGCTGTACTTTGGATACGTGAGTAAATGTATAGCTTGAGATCAATGAGGCATACAATCTGTTCAGGGGCGCCATAGGTCGGCCCAGATAGGGGTCACTTGATACACAAATGTTAAAATAGCTTTTTTGCACATTGGCAGCAAATCTTAACGCTCAAGAAAATTTGAACAAGTCCTTGGCCGAAGATATCTTTTCACTGTATGTTTGTCGTATCTTTACATTAGAAAATCAACTTGGAGCAAAGATTTGCACATGGTAAACATTCTGAAAAACAGCAACAAAAAACGTTTAAAATATCCCTTTCTTTGCAAACGTGTATACGTTTGTGCTTTTTGGCTTTCTCTTCGTTTTCCCAATATAAATACAATTTCATGTTTTTAATCGATATATCCCCGTTATATAATAAGGATCAAACTCTATCACATCTCCATGGTAAATAAGGGATATTCCAGCTAACTCTAACATCACTAAAGAATCCTTAAATATCACCACACCATCTGTCATGTATTTGGTATATTCTGTTGATAGATACCAGTGCATTTCTGAAACATGTAGTGCAAGAATCAGTACCTCGTCTGTCTTCATGTTTTTCCTGCAGTTTAATATATTTCTGACGACTTCGGATAGAAATATGACATAGCGAGGATCGAGGTCCTCATCCTTGTTGAATCCTGTCCCAAACAAAATATACAATTAACGACCATAATTGAATGGCATTGTTTCTAGTTCACTTATGGGGATGGGCGTACAATCTGAGAACCTTCCCACAACGACAATTATGAATATAATGATACAACGTTGTGACGGCGTATTTCAACCTTCTGACACGTCGTTCACTTTGTTGTGACAACGTCCATTGTAGTCCATCGAATAACTGTGCATGACGTATTATTATCTATCACATTACTATAACGTACAACTCAACGTTACCGTAATGTACAATACAACGTAACTACAGCGTACAATACAACGTTACTTCAACGTAAAATACAACGGTCCCACCACGTAATGTACAACGTTCCCATAGCATGGCGATTGCGTGAAAATGTCGTACCCAAACAAAATGTACAATTAACGACCATAATTGAATGGCATTAAATGTTTCTAGTTCACTTATAGGGACGGGCGTACAATCTGAGAACCTTCCCACAACGACAATTATGAACATAATGATACAACGTTGTGACGGCGTATTTCAACCTTCTGACACGTCGTTTACGTCGTTGTGACAACGTCCATTGTAGTCCATCGAATAACTTTGCATGACGTAATATTATTTATCACATTACTATAACGTACAATTCAACGTTACCGTAATCTACACTACAACGTTACTACAGTGTACAATACAACGTTACTACAACGTAAAATACAACATTAACACAACGTAAAATACAACGGTCCCACAACGTAAAGTACAACGTTCCCATATCATTGCGATTGCGTAAAACTGACGTACCACAACGTTTGCCCACAACGTTGTGACATCAGAAAGGGGAGTCCACGGAATAACGTTGCAAAGACGTAATATCATAACAACGTGACAATGTGAACGTGAAATTGTTTGCTGGGAATCGAAAATGATATATGGTTGACAAAATTGTTTCAGACGGGAGGCTAGATGGCGTGTAATATTTCAATGTTCACACCAAACCCCACTGACAATCACACTTCACAAAATAACTAGGCATGGTCTTAAGTCAATGAGACCCGGATTGACGGACGGGCAGCATACCTGCGATTTCAAAATTGCTGACGAACCAGAGGTACCGACAACAAACCAACAAACTAAAGCAAAGTGCGACATCATGCGAACACCGTTCTATAAAACAGTACTCCCTACCTGTCGCCCAGCTAACGAGAAAACCAACGATCAGCACGATTGCGATGCCGAGAGCGCCGAGCCAGGTGTACGACAGAGTGTAGATGACATTGAAACCCGTGCTGGAATAAACAGAAAAGCAACGCGACTTGTCAGTGACAATTTAATTAATGTATTTACACCTGCAAAAAGGTTAAGCACTATACTTCCATCTGATCTTCTTTGAAAGGATATACATATGACACTTATCCCGTTTTGATCAATGTATAAGATGCCACTTAAGGAAGGGAATATATGAATGTCAACTTCTTAATTATGAGTAACACAACGTATGCTCTCTGCCTCATGGCATTCCTTCACCTGATGAAGGAGTAAGCATATACTCCGAAACGTTGTGTTCCTCATAATAAAGAAGTTGACATCCATACATTCTCTTCCTTATGTGAATCTTATAAATGCCTTTCAAAGACCTAAGATGCCACTGTTACCACTGTTGGCACAAGAACAATGTGTGCTTCGCCAGATTGTTACAAGCACTGATTCAGTTCAATAGACACAAAGAAGCGCATGATTGTCAAGTACATTGTAACTATTGACAGGAAACTTGAACTAAACACGTAATCAGACACAGGGTCCCTGGTCTAGTTGATAAGGCTTCTGCCCGGAAAGAGGAAGGTCGGTTCCTCGTCACATCAAAAGACGTCAAGAGATCGGAGTTGTCACCCTGCCTGACTGCCTGCTAATCAGGTCTTTGCTTTCTGTTTTCTGTTTGCAGGATTCTTATGATTGAACAATATGTCTCAATGTGTAGAGGATGGCAGTCACACTGGTTCTATTACATGGACGTCTGTGGGTCCATAAAAAGAGGAATACTCAGAAAAACATCCACGACCAGCCAGTTCAACTTGAATAAAAGCTTGAACATATTACCCAGCAAAAGAATTATTAATCCAATATTCGATAAAGTTTATAACGTCCTTACACCGGTTCGACGACATCTGCAACGGTTGTTACGTCATACGGTCCTGCTGTTGACGTCATGAGTCCTGTTGTATTCATGATCAGTGACGTCATATTATCCACAGAGCACTGATCGGTCGGGGCTGGGGTCAGCCAAGGAGTCGGTCTCGTGGCTCCGGAGAACGTGGAGCCAGCGCACAGCCACATCATAACTACAGTGCTTACCACAGTGGAGATTACCGCTCCCTGTGGAAACAAATGTTAGTTCATATGCGTCTGGTCCAGACTCGATTATATACAGACCGCCGTCATATAGATGGAATATTGTTGAGTGCGGCGTTAAACAACAAACGAACAAAACAAACAAACAAATCATGCAAAATTCGTTCGGATTAACGATTTTCAAGATTAACGAATGCCACTAATCGTTACGGAATAAAGTCCTTTCAATATATGTCGATGTTCCTGAACGTTTCAATCCCAAAAGCGGGTTTCAGGATTAACAAGTTTCAAACTTAGAAAAACTTTAACCATACAAGATTACTTACTTTAGCGTTAGCCCAGGGACAGAGGGATGCAAGGATAAACAGGCCACACAGAGGACCGTTGAAGGCGGATAGAATAGTCGTAGTAATCTGAAACAGCATGTATTTTGATTAACCATTTATTTAAGGGTATAAGTTATTATATATATTATGTCAGACATTCTCAGGTAGTAGCGAGGTATCTTCTATTTGAGGATAGATCTAATGTCTGTCCATGTGTTGCTCGAGGCTATGAAAGAGTGAATGAGTTGGGTTTAACGCCACTTTTAACAAACAGTATTCAGTATTCGCATTCGCCCTGTTAGCTTAATGTGGGAGGAATGTCCTAAGTAACGTAGGTCTCAGACGTTTACCTCTTTAGTGAAACTCACGAAAACGGGTATGGTGACAAACCTAGAAACATAATCGGGGCGAAATAGAATTCGAACCCACAATCACAGGTTTCTGGCGTGCCCAAGGGACGCAACTCAGCACAGCACCCGTGCCCCTTGCTACAAAAGTGGTGCCTTTTACAATACATTGGACATTCACCTGAAGTGGTAACATTCACAACAGTATCGTAAATAGCTGCATAATCAATAACGCCGTCTTTGTTACTAAATAAGTGATAATTGTGAAAGTCAAATGATTGTGTTCTACACAAATTGACAACGTAAATATTTCAATCAAACAAAAACTATATCAAATATTTTAAAGATATCAGATCAGGTTCAGATAAATTGTTGAACTAAATGGATGCTTTCAATTCGTCAATGACACACCCTAATAAGTGAACCTTCACATCAACACACCACCTTAATATCATGTCTTTCACAGAGGGCCCGTGAAGATCCGGGGTAGAATAGGTTTTCAGCAACCCATGCTTGCCGTAAAAGGCGACTATGCTTGTCGTAAAAGGCGACTAACGGGATCGGGTGGTCAGGATGGCTGACTTGGTTGATGCATGTCAACGTATCCCAATTGCGTGGATCGATGCTCATGATATCAATCACTGGATTGTCTGGTCCAGACTCGATTATTTACAGACCGCCGTCATATAGCTGGACTATTGCTGAGTGCGGCGTTAAACAACAAACCAAACCAAAACCAAAAAATCTTTCACAGAGAGCGCTCATATTTATTACCCAAGCTAAACATTGACTGGATATTGTCAGCATAGCGGGACGCCAAGTGCTCTGACATAGTCGGTAACATATTACATGATAAAGTTATTATGGACCTGCGTGAGTGTTCCTCCAATGAGGGAAATAAGGAGAGCGACTCCACAGGACAGGATTCCGAACAAAACCACTGAAACACAGGAGGATTAATGATATAAAAATGCAAGACTATTTACTGATGAGTCTGCCATGACACTGAACACATAGTCGGCAAAAACGGAGAGAATGTATGGATAACAACTTATTTATTAGGTCTTTGAAAGGCATTTAGAAGTGATACACGTAAGGAGGAGAATTTATGGATGTTTTTATTATGCTTACTCCTTCATCACCTGATGACACAGCGTTTCGGAGTATATGCTTTCTCTTTCATCACCTGATGACACAAAGTTTCAAAGTATATGCTTACTACTTCATCACCTGATGACACAACGTTTCAGAGTATATGCTTACTACTTCATCACCCGATGACACACCGTTTCGGAGTATATGCTTACTACTTCATCACCTGATGACACACCGTTTCAGAGTATATGCTTACTCCTTCATCACCTGATGACACAAAGTTTCGGAGTATATGCTTACTCCTTCATCACCTGATGACACAACGTTTCGGAGTATATGCTTACTTCTTCGTCACCTGATTACACACCGTTTCGGAATATATGCTTACTCCTTCATCACCTGATGACACAACGTTTCGGAGTATATGCTTACTTCTTCGTCACCTGATTACACACCGTTTCGGAATATATGCTTACTCCTTCATCACCTGATGACACAACGTTTCAGAGTATATGCTTACTCCTCCATCACCTGATGACACAACGTTTCAGAGTATATGCTTACTCCTTCATCACCTGATGACACAACGTTTCGGAGTATATGCTTACTCTTTCATCACCTGATGACACAACGTTTCGGAGTATATGCTTACTCCTTCATCACCTGATGACACAACGTTTCAGAGTAAATGCTTACTCCTTCATCACCTGATCACACAACGTTTCAGAGTAAATGCTTACTCCTTCATCACCTGATGATACACCGTTTCGGAGTATATGCTTACTCCTTCATCACCTGATGACACAACGTTTCAGAGTAAATGCTTACTCCTTCATCACCTGATCACACAACGTTTCAGAGTAAATGCTTACTCCTTCATCACCTGATGACACACCGTTTCAGAGTATATGCTTACTCCTTCACCACCTGATGACACAACGTTTCAGAGTATATGCTTACTCCTTCATCACCTGATGACACACCGTTTCAGAGTACATTCTTACTCCTTCATCACCTGATGATACACCGTTTCAGAGTATATGCTTACTCCCTCATCACCTGATGACACAAAGTTTCAGAGTATATGCTTACTCCTTCATCACCTGGTGACACACCGTTTCAGAGTATATGCTTACTCCTTCATCACCTGATGATACACCGTTTCGGAGTATATGCCTACTCCTTCATCACCTGATGACACAACGTTTCAGAGTATATGCTTACTCCTTCATCACCTGATGACACACCGTTTCGGAGTATATGCTTATGGTGATGAAGGAGTAAGCATATACTCCGAAACGTTGTGTTCTTTATAATAAAGAAGCTGACATCCATATATTCTCCTCCTTAAACTTCTTTATTAGACGGTAATAGCGACGTGCATAGATCCTAATCCTGTTGTGAAGCATGACTGCTGTTTGATAGGCATTTCTTAGAAATTGACGGATGACAAAGTTGACAAAAAATAGACAGTCTTGCTTGACGACGGTATAAGGCTCTATGCAGAAACATCCCTATATAAGTGTAACAAAGACGTTTTTATCGATACATATTTGTCTATTTTTTGTCTACTTTGTCATCCGTAACTTCAAAGAAATGCCTATCAAACAACTGTAAGCATGTAAATAACATATTTCCCATATATCTGAGAGGAATATCTGTGTTTTTCATTTTGTGTATGGCGCAACTTGATGTAACGTTCACCTGATACTTTAGCTATCACCGTTGCTGTGAGTTCGGAAATATTTGGAAAGCGAGGCTTGAGAATGTCCTCCCACGTCATCGCTGACAGACTGGAGAGTCCAGATGAAATTGTGCTGTGGAACAAGAACACCAACAGTATTATTTGTACACGTGCACGAGTACCCATGTGCCCTGTAAGTGTATGCTATGAACTGATGTATCGATACATGGCGATAGATATTTTTATATCTATACAGGTCAAAAGAATGGTTACAGCATTGATAAACTGAATGGAACAACAATAAACAGATACATTAGAATGGAACCGTGTGCAGCACCATACATAAACACCAACATAAACACCAACATTAACACCAACATAAACACCAGCATAAACACCAACATAAACACCAACACCAACACCAACATAAACACCAGCATAAACACCAACATAATCACCAACATAAACACCAACATAAACAACAACATAAACACCAACATAAACACCAACATAAACACCAACATTAACACCAACATAAACACCAACATAAACACCAACATAAACACCAACATTAACACCAACATAAACACCAACATTAACACCAACATAAACACCAACATAAACACCAACATTAACACCAACATAAACACCAACATTAACACCAACATAAACACCAACATAAACACCAACATTGACACCAACATAAACACCAACATAAACACCAACATAAACACCAACATAAACACCAACATTAACACCAACATAAACACCAACATAAACACCAACATTAACACCAACATAAACAACAACATAAACAACAACATAAACACCAACATAAACAACAACATAAACAACAACATAAACACCAACATAAACACCAACATTAACACCAACATAAACACCAACATTAACACAAGTTGATCGAGCCCCAGCACTGTAATCTAAATGTGATAATGTGAACTGTTGCTTATTTTGCGAATAACGGAAAATGTGACCACAAGGGTGCCTGAAATGACATGCACCAGGGGTATACAAATTGTTCTTTGATGTCACTAAGCACACACATTGAATCCGGGATGCCGAGACACACAGTAGTACAGCGAGAACGAGAGCCGAGAACGGGAGGACCGTGTTTCACAGCACTCAATACAACCTGTACCGATGAACACTGCATCTGCTGGCTTGCTTCATCAGCTGTAATATGTTTGGTGATATGGTACACGGCCAAATAGAAACCAGGGGTCTCCGGGCGGCGTCAGAGCACACATGTACAGACAATACTAGGAACAATCTCAACAGCGGAGACTGAGATTGGTAATGCCAAACGATTACCGCAAGTCTTCTACGTGATCCAACACCAGCAGCATCAACAAGCTAGCTTCGCCATCCTGCTCGCCAGACATGTCGCCCATTGTCTAGCTTGATTGATTGGTTTGTTGTTTGTTGTTTAACGCCGCACTTAGCAATATTCCAGCTATATGACGGCGGTCTGAAAATAATCGAGTCTGGACCAGACAATCCAGTGATTGATATCATGAGCATCGATCCACGCAATTGGGATCCATGACATGCTTCAACCAAGTCAGCGAGCCAGACCACCCGATCCCTGACCCACCCTGACCACCGTTAATCGCCTCTTACGACAAGCATAGTCGCCACGGCAAGCATGGGTTGCTGAAGACCTCTTCTACCCCGGATCTTCACGGGTCCGTTGTCTGGTATGCATGGGTCCGCATCTGTTGTCTAGTGGAAAAAAAACCCCATCTGCCTGGATAGCGGAAAGTCGGTGGTTCTACCCCAGACCAAGCCATACCAAAAGACGTTATAATGTGGTATTTGTTGTTACCCTGCCTGGCGCTCGGCATTAAGTGTGTGTGTTGGGGGGGGGGGGGGGGGGGCGACTTGGAGACAGTATATTGTGACTGAGGAGGGTATTCATATTAGAGTGAGTGAGTGAGTGAGTTGCGTTTAACGCCGCTGATTATCATTCAAGTTATATCGTGGCTAGTCAGCTTAATGTGGGAGGAAAGCCATCCGAGATTCGAACCAACGATCATAGGATTCTGGCATACCCAAGGGACGCAATTCTGCACAGCGAAATGCTGCGCCTTAGACAACAAGGCCACTATTGCGCCGCATTCATATAACTGCAGCATGGTATCACAGAGGGCTAGCACTATAAAACCGGGATTAGGCCGAACTTGTACAAGCAGCCACACCGAACATTCTTAAAGGTTTAACATCTTCAAAGTCAACACATGAGACCTACCTTAAAGACGCACTGAACAAGGCCGCCAGGAATAGTCCCGGCATTCCAGGCAATCCCTGGAATATATCCATTACCATAAATGGTATGATCTGAAAGAAACAAGACCATTTTCAAATTAAAGCCCTTGTCTAAAGCTTAAGTTAGTGAGTGAGTTGGGTTTAAAGCCGCTTGTAACCGTATTTCCAGGACTGCATTACCAATTGCTGAGAGCATGTGCTTGGAATCCATCACGGCATCGACTTACGTATATCAATGTGTTAACACACCCATCAAATCACGAGTGGAGGTAGCTGACGTTACGTCACACACGTCCATAATCAGAGCCAAGGTCAGCAATCACGTGTGCTTGGATTTCTTGGCGTGTATGCCGATTTTTAAGGTTACCGATGTACAAAAAGATAAATGAAGACACGGTTGACTTCAGTTTGTTTTCTCAGTGGGAGTTTTTGGGGCTACTAGCATATGAACTCAAACGTCGTATTTGCGTGAGTGAGTAGGGTTTACGCCGCTTTGGGCAGTATTCCAGTTAGACCAAGGCATGTCAACTTAATGTTGGAGGAAAGCCCGAAGTGATTCAGGTCTTTAACATGTTGGTGAAACGCCGGACACACCTGGAACCATGGCGATCACAGGTTTCTGGCGTAGTCAAGGGACAGTGAATGGCGGCGCCTTAGACGACAGGGCCACCCCGCCGGGCCATGGAGTCCCCTTAAGCTTAAGTAAGTTCTTACAAGTGTATGAAGTTTCTTTTCAAATTATGATAGCTTTATAGTATACGTTGTAAGTTTGCTTGTGTGTGTTTATGTGACTGACACACTCATTATCGTGGTCAAAGCTATGTTTAAACGTGCCACTTATAGAGGACGAGGAGTCGTCACATTGGAAGCTCTGCATGTTTTTCTTTTCAGGGAGTGTAAACACCAATTTGTTTTTCTTCCAAATCAAATCGTTTTGAGCAAGGCACAAGCTATAACGCAAACACCTAGAATAAATGAGTGAGTATGGTTATGTAGCTTTTAGAAATATTCAATCAATAGCAATGCAGGGAACATCATAATAGGGCTTCACACAGCGCACCCATGTAGTGAATCAAACCTGTGCCTTTAGCGTGACGAGCGAACGCTTTAACCACTCGGCAACGCCATTGCACCGCCAAGACCTGGACTACGTCCAGTACGTCGCTTGGGTGAGATCAATCAATATCACCTTGGAAATATGGCTACTAACTGCATCACAATGCGTTGCATACCATTGTGACATCATCGGTTACAATAACGTATGGTTACATGACATCACTTATCTCTCTGCCACTGAATCTGTTTGCTGTACGTTTTACACTCCGGGCCCCGTCGCACAAAGCGATCTCGGCGCTCGGAATTTCGTAAGCCTATGTAAAAGTATGGGAGTTACGTTCACCTTAGCACTAAGATCGATTTGTGCATCGGAACCCTGTACACGGTTCACAAAATGAAAAAGTTGGAAGAAATTGATTTTGGATGGTAAACACGAAACCACTTTGTGTTTTTGTTTGTTTGATTGCTATTTTTCCTGTCCACACTCGGAAACATTCAATTTGACGGCGGCTTGTACTTAATCGAGTCGGGACCAGACTGTCAACTTCTTTATTATAAAGGAACACAACGTTTCGGAGTATATGCTTTCACCTTCCGAAACGTGTTCCTCATGATAAAGAAGATGACATCCATCAATTCTCTTCCCCAGAGTTACTTAGTTTTGTAAATTTATGCGTTGGTCGTTATAATACGACAATTAATTGATAACAATGTCTGCTATGTTTGAGTGAAATACTGACCTGGTTCGGGTTGTGTATTTGCCCCGACTCCAAAGGGTCACAGCTGACGTTCACGTAGTAGGCGTATGCGACGATGCCCTCAATCATGGCAAGTGTAATAGTTATCCAGAAGGCAGGGCTCACTATTAACATTACCCTGGCGAATACAAACATTTATATATGTTTCAGATACAGCGTAAATTTTGTTTTCACTTTAAGATGGAAATTATATGTCCTGCCTTTGCTCGCTAATTACAAAGTACATTCCTAATAAAGGCTATTACTCCTCTCAAAACAAACAAACATTATAGTCACTCTAGCATATAATGTTATTCTTAAATTTGATCATCTCTCACAAACAACATGACACGTTTTACTGTACGTGCGCATTGATATATTACGTCCAAATGTCAGTGATTAGTCTGCCGGGAAGTTAGAAAGTCAATGTAGTTCAAACTCAAGCTTGTATGTTAGACAGCGACGTCACTACATAGAGGCTCAAACTGTTGCCTATTACAATTTTTCTACGTCAGTGATCGCCTTTCGCGGTAATCCATTTGTCCAAGTGTAATTGTCCTTTGTCAAAGGGAAGCTACTCCAGTCTATGAGACGTCACGTTCGGTGAATGTCTGGCCTGTTATAGCCTTACGAAATGCTGTCAGATGTCCCACACAGCTACAAAGCGAAAGAAGATAAAATATTTCGGCCAGATCCTACTGTTTGTGTAGCCAAGAATGAAACTTGTTTCGTATCTGCTGTGTTCCAGACATTTTTCGGCGCCATAATTATACTGATGCCTACATGCAGCTAGATGTTGAAGCTCTGCATCACTATTGTCTTGTTTGTCTTTGTAAGATAATTTTAAAATAATGCTGAGACTCACTTCTTGGCTTCAGCGAGTGTTGGCGTAGAGCAGACCCTCTGTATAGTGGACTGGTTGAAGATTAGGCCGGATGATCGGGCGAATGTCCCCAGAAACAGCCCCCAAAACGTGTGACGGACAGTCGGGTCCATGTCAAAACTAGGTAACAACATCATGGATTGTAAGATTGCCCAATGTGAATGAGTTGATGAGAGTATGGTTTTCCGACGCATTTTTCAATATTCCAGCTATATTACGGCGGGGGAACACCAGAAATGGACTTCACACATTGCACCCACCTGGGAAATCGAGCCCAAGCCTTGTGCGTGACGACCGAACGCTTTAACCACAATGCTACCCCGCCTTCCCTTGTCCAATGTGAGGCATTACATGCATGCATGCGTGCTTGTTGGCTTAAAGGCGTAGGTGGCAAGACAACATTCTACGTTTTCGCCATTTAGTCATTGAGTGACTGAATGTTTAACGCCGCAGTATACTGTAAATATGTATTTATAGACTAGACAACGTGCAACGCCATTACGGTGACTGACAAGATATCAACAATGACTTAGAACCAGAACACAGGACCACCGGTCCAACTTCAAATCAGAAGGCTCAAACTGAGTATGTTTGTATGTGTGTGCGTGCACATGTGTGATATGTGTGGTTGAATGTTTGTATGTGTTTGTGCATGTGAGTGTGCGTGTGCACGTATACTTGTGTGTGCATGTGTATGTGTGTGTACACGTGTGTGTGTGCACGTGTGTGTGCATGGGTATGTGTGTGCGTATACTTGTGTCTGCATGTGTATGTGTGTGTGTGTGTGTGTGTGTGTGTCAGTGAGTGTGTAACCTTCACACATCCCTTACATCCCTACCCTTACATCGATTCCCAGATATTAGAATCCCGATCTGTATTTAAGTGCAGCATGAAACTCTATTCATTCATGTATTCCTGAACGTGATCTCTGAGAAACATCAAAGATTCTTCACCATTTCCACAGTGTCCTTGTCTCAACTGGTGTTTCAGCTCAATGTTTCATTGTAACGCCATGTAGTAATCCACGTCCTGTCTAGTTTACTGCGACACGTGTTTCCAATGTTTCAGTTTTCTTTGATTTTTGTTTGTTTTGTTTTCGCGACCACCTGATGTCATCATTGAACTTTCAGTGGTCCATTAACATAATTTGCACACCTATTTCACCCTTTACGCCAAATAGAATATGTTTCGGTGAACAAGCAAGAAAAGTGATTATCTTGTATTGATGTTTTATATCGAAACTTGTTTTAAAACTTGTTGAGGACTTTCGCAAGCGCAATTTCTCTCGTACATGTAATCAGCATTTATCACAGCTGAACATTTTGAGAATTTATCTTTGGAATTAATTCATTAAAAGATATTGTCCAATCTTACTTGAAAAAATTCAGGCGTCCACCCTTAGCCGCAGTGGTCCAGACAGTTTTAATTCCACCTGCGTCCATAGTGCCCTGAAATACGATGTCAGATATAATGAATTCATCGCAGAATCCCAATGATATATAACTGACTTTTATGAGACAAATGTTGACAACAATAAAATTAGTTTTTGTTCTCATTATCAATTTTGTTCAGGAGCGTGAGTTGCAAATAAATGCAACAAAACCTTAAGTTTGTTTTCTATATTCATAAGAGTTGATTTATGATTTCGACTTTTTCATGGCATTTGTTTATGAATCACTACAAGTAAGGATACCAAGTTTCGCGAAAAGGTGAGCGTATGCTGCCCCACCTTCAGCACCAGGGACATGGCATGTGTGTGTCCCTGGTGCTGAAGGTGGGGCAGCATGCGCTCACCTTTTCGCGAAACTTGGTATCCTAACTTTGTTACTTTTTTTCGTTATTCTAGAAAATTCTGGACTGGCAACAATTAATCTGGTCTGGTAACTTTGCAATGTTGCCAGTCCGGTTGTCTGGCTGAAATTTTTGGGACTTTTATACACTGACTCTAACTCAGTTTTATACGAGAAGAGCAAACGCATTGAACACTCTGGGACCTGTCCGGTAGTGGATTACTTCGCTGTGCTCCTACCTTGATGATGATTGCAAACATGCCCGCAAACATCACTAAAGCCTGGAAGACATCAGTCCAGATGACCGCCTTCAGTCCGCCCTGCAAACATTACAGCCATTCAAGGAACATAGCATCAAAGCTTCGGACAAGGCGTAACTTGAGATAAGTGCTGTATTTAAGATATCATTAATTATAATCGATTCGCTACACCTCGCATAACAATATAAAGATTAATATCCACATAGACATTTTGCTCAAATATTAGATATTTTTTGGATCAATTCATGAAACGAAAAAAATGACATAAAATATAAATGATTTCTCACCATTGCAGTGTACATTATAGCTGCAGCTGCAACCAGGAAGATGGAGCCGGACTGGGGAAATCCCGTCACTATTAATAGACCAACATGGTAATAAATGGTTTAAAGGAAACATTTAATTAAGTTTAGTCATAAATTACTTATATTGTTCTACAACCTGGAAGAAAAACGTATCTGAAGTGTTGAGACATATGTCACAAACCGTTTTAAACAAAGTAGAAATTAAGATTTTGTTTGTGCTTGTCAAACGTTTGAAACGTACATTCACAATGGTATTACTTGAACAACAATACAATATGAATAGATATCAATGGATGAGCATATGATTGATAGTGTGAAAATAAGAACTATGTCGTAAGGTGAATCATAACATCAGCGACTAAGTACTATTCTAAGTACTATTTCAACACACTGCCCATTGTTAGCATCAGATCCATATCTGTGTCACTTCTCCCTCTCTTCTGTAGTGAGTGAGTGAGTGAGTTGGATTTTAACAATATTTCAGTAAAATGATAGCGTGTCTGCTTCATGTGGGAGGAAAGCCCGAAGTAATGGAGGTCTGTGATGTTTACAACTTTGATGAAACCCACGGGTATGGAACTGCAAACAATGATCGTCATTAAGACGAATATGGAATTAGGCACAGCGAGTTTGCGTTTCCTGAGACACCTAAGCTAGCTGTGTTCTAACTATCTTCTTATAAAGTGAGGGGCGGTGAGGTAGCCCAATGGTTAAATCGCTTCCGAAAGGCGCTGGTTAGAACCCCCTCATAGGTGCAATGTGTGAACCCCAATTCTGGTTTCCACCTTTGGCGATATTGTGGAACATACTCACACTCACTCACACATCATATGGAAACAGTAATTAAAAGCGACAAAACAAATTCCAAAATCATAAGAAATATCTGTTCAATGTACGAATCCGACTATATCATGAACATGTGTTTAAAAATCAGATTAAAATAATGATGACACCAGTTTTTCACGAAAAGGTAAGCGTATCCTGCCCAATCCAATATTTAGAATTTTACCAACATGCACGTACCTGCTTCCAGTGCTATAGCTGGTCCAAATAACACAATACCCATATAGAATACCTGGAATGACGAATGTTTTGAACGTGAAATATTTCGAAATATTCGATTTGACGAAGGTCTAAATAAAATTATTATCGTATTGATGAGGGCATAACATTGAAATACATTCTTCCAAGGAATCATCATCATAGCGACTGGATTTATTCCGGAACGTATTCATCCGTACTTACGTATGTGAGGATACCAAGGGTCGTTCCAACGTGACGTACATAACGAGATTTGAACCTTCCATCGAGATACTGAAAACAAAACATATATTATTTATTGGGATATACATTTGAATAAAACTCTACTGCATAAGAACGACCCTTATATGTATACCATAAAATCATTCTGCCACGTTTAACAAGTAGATCTGGTTTACTCCGTTTTAGCAATGTGACAATGGGATCCACGCATTACGCAAGTGTGGAATCGAACCCAGGCCTTTGGCGTGACAAGCCGGCTCCACTGGGCTACCCTGCTTACTATTAACATAAAGAAACCTAGAGAAATAAGTCATTGCCTTGCGCAAATAAATATGACAAAGGATGATTGTATTGTTTGGGGATTAATCACTAATGTATGAGGTTGCTACAATGTGTGACTTGGATGTGTCATCATAACCCTACGGCGTAGTCTATTGCTCATAATATCAATCACTGGAGTATCTGCATCAACCGAACCTGACAACGCGATCCCGTTAGTCGCCTCGTATGACAAGCATGGGTTGCTGAAGACCTATTCTACCCTGGATCTTCACGGGTCTGACAATGTAATGATAGGGTTTAAACCTTACGAAGTGACGATAGTGATAGAGCCTGAAAGTGACGATAGTGATAGAGCCTGACAAAGTGACGATAGTGATAGAGCCTGACAAAGTGACGATAGTGATAGAGCCTGACAAAGTGACGATAGTGATAGAGCCTGACAAAGTGACGATAGTGATAGAGCCTGAAAGTGACGATAGTGATAGACCCTGGTAAAGTGACGATAGTGATAGAGCCTGACAAAGTGACGATAGTGATAGAGCCTGACAATGTGACGATAGTGATAGAGCCTGAAAGTGACGATAGTGATAGAGCCTGAAAGTGACGATAGTGATAAAGCCTGACAAAGTGACGATAGTGATAGAGCCTGACAAAGTGACGATAGTGATAGAGCCTGACAAAGTGACGATAGTGATAGAGCCTGACAAAGTGACGATAGTGATAGAGCCTGACAAAGTGACGATAGTGATAGAGCCTGAAAGTGACGATAGTGATAGAGCCTGACAAAGTGACGATAGTGATAGAGCCTGGCAAAGTGACGATAGTGATAGAGCCTGAAAGTGACGATAGTGATAGAGCCTGACAAAGTGACGATAGTGATCGAGCCTGAAAGTGACGATAGTGATAGAGCCTGACAAAGTGACGATAGTGATAGAGCCTGACAAAGTGACGATAGTGATAGAGCCTGACAAAGTGACGATAGTGATAGAGCCTGACAAAGTGACGATAGTGATCGAGCCTGAAAGTGACGATAGTGATAAAGCCTGACAAAGTGACGATAGTGATAGAGCCTGACAAAGTGACGATAGTGATAGAGCCTGACAAAGTGACGATAGTGATAGAGCCTGACAAAGTGACGATAGTGATAGAGCCTGAAAGTGACGATAGTGATAGAGCCTGACAAAGTGACGATAGTGATAGAGCCTGACAAAGTGACGATAGTGATAGAGCCTGACAAAGTGACGATAGTGATAGAGCCTGAAAGTGACGATAGTGATAGAGCCTGACAAAGTGACGATAGTGATAGAGCCTGACAAAGTGACGATAGTGATAGAGCCTGAAAGTGACGATAGTGATAGAGCCTGACAAAGTGACGATAGTGATAGAGCCTGACAAAGTGACGATAGTGATAGAGCCTGACAAAGTGACGATAGTGATAGAGTCTGACAAAGTGACGATAGTGATAGAGCCTGAAAGTGACGATAGTGATAGACCCTGGCAAAGTGACGATAGTGATAGAGCCTGACAAAGTTACGATAGTGATAGAGCCTGACAATGTGACGATAGTGATAGAGCCTGACAAAGTGACGATAGTGATAGAGCCTGACAAAATGACGATAGTGATAGAGCCTGACAAAGTGACGATAGTGATAGAGCGTGAAAGTGACGATAGTGATAGAGCCTGACAAAGTGACGATAGTGATAGAGCCTGACAAAGTGACGATAGTGATAGACCCTGGCAAAATGACGATAGTGATAGAGCCTGAAAGTGACGATAGTGATCGAGCCTGACATACTGACGATAGTGATAGAGCCTGACAAAATAAAGATAGTGATAGAGCCTGACAAAGTAAAGATAGTGATAGAGCCTGAAAGCGACGACAGTGATAGAGCCTGACAAAGTGACGGTAGTGATAGAGCCTGACAAAGTGACGATAGTAATAGGGCCTGTAAGTGACGGTAGTGATAGAGCCTGACAAAGTGACGATAGTGATAGAGCCTGAAAGCGACGATAGTGATGAAGACTCCAAAGTGATGACAGTGATAAAACATGAAAATTTGAATGATGGTCATGGAGACTGACAAAGTGATGATAGTGGTGAAGTATGAAATGTGATGAGAGTAATAAAGCCTGACCCAGCTCAGCTAGTTCCGCTTTCTAAACTGAACCTACCTCGTAAGCGCTTGTGATTTTCAGGGGATGAATCAGTGGTATCATCAACACCCTGCATATCAGAAACGATGCCAAGAATCCAAACAGTGCTATCCAGACTTGTGCCCCGTACACGTACACTTCAGCCGGAGTGCCCAGCATCATGATGGACGACTCAAACGACACCATGAGCGACACAGCGACGGGGAGAAACTTCATTGCCCGTCCACCGACCAGAAACTCGGATGTTGTTCGCTGACGTCCACCAGACAGAGCAAAGTAAAGTCCTATGCCCAGTGAGATGAGAATGGTGGCGCCGAACACCACGTAGTCGACGATGTGGAAGCTGTGTTGGGTGTCTCCCATTTTGTTTCGTTTTCCCAGCTGTGTGTTAGCAAATTTGATAAATGATAACCTTTGTTAGGGATAAGCAGTGAACAATAAACAATAAAACCTTTGAACAAGTATTCTTCAATGAGTTGTGTCTTGGATTTCGGAGGAAGCTCTTGATACGTCCAACAGTTTTTCGGATGCGAAGAGAAATCTTGGGCTGCGTCTTTGTAGATACAATGGCATTTATGGATATGACAACATCGTCATAGACTTCAATTCGTTGAACTCCCCATTCAACTGAGTCTTTACAGCTCTTGATGATCCGTTCCTCTGTGTTACGTTGTCGAAGATGTCATTGTTAAAAACACGGTGGAGACGTTGTGGGGCAAATCCTTCTGGAAATAAATAAATCAGCATTTCATTTATACGCATCAATAGAACGAACGACTGATTTTAAGAAAGGCGGAACAAATCCATGCATTTCAAATCAACCCCTCAAATATGTAGTTATAGAAATGCTATTGCCTCTCATGGTGAAAAATTCAAGATGTTTCAAATTATCTGTCACGGGCCACGAGTGACGAACAGTGTAAATTCCAGTGTAACATCCTAAATTCCACATCAGTGTTTGGTTAGATTTGTAAACTTGATCACCCAATTAGAGGTAGCCCCTTACAAAAAAATACTTCTGTTTTTGCAGACGAAGATGTTTTAAGTTGATTGACGTAGCTGCCCACTTTCCTTTAGCATCGCTGTTCTGAAACTAGACATTGCACGATAGTGACACTGAGCATAGACACTTCCACGAGCTCGCACGTTTATTGGCTGAGAAACGAGAGATGCCAGTCATTGCGAATCTGATTTTTAAACTCCCCATGAACCGATTCTGGCACGGCTAAGGCACTCCTTCAGACATATTAGCATTTGCTAAGTGAATTAGGCGAATCAAAATTCTATTCTATAAATAAGCAGGTAAGACTGGACTAGATGTCACGGATTGTGACAGCGAGGAATAGACGCCTTGGCATGAATAAATGGGTGTTCTTACATAAAGGGACAGTAAACGTGACTGTCAATAAGTAAAATGTACGCCATTGTGTCATGGCTGATGTTGTCAAACCAATCAGAAGCTGGTTCAGGGTAATAGGGTAAATTTATTAAATCAAAAAATATATAGCTACTAGGTCATAATGAATCAACAGAGGCTTCAATAAATTAACTGGCTGAAATGTATATTCAAATCATTAATTTATAAATGGTTTGGGTGGGTGAAGGACGATCGCACTCGCCATATCCTGGGCTCATATAAGTTAATATGTCATTGGTCTGCGCTTAAGATGGCCGAAATGAATTTTACGCATTTATTTAACGTTTATAACCAATTGTATTGAAACGGAGTTCACCATCCATAAATAGTGTCATCAGAGTAGTGACCCTTTCTACCAAAGTTGATGGCGTACCAGTCGTGCATAGAGAAACGACTGACAAACAATAACATCATTGTGATACATTTTAACCTTCGCATAATTGTTGTGCTTATTTTTTAATCTAGATGTAACAACTCTAAGGTATCCTCACAATAAAATACTTCTTATTAAAATAGCTTTACGCGTAGTGAAAGCGGTACGACCAATGGTTCCTTGACTATCTGCGACATATTGTATACAGTTGCAAAGGTTTTAAGGTCCTCAAAAATATAAGTTGTCCTTAGGAAGATAGTATCTTAAGGAAAAGTTTGACAGGTGGCACCTACAAAATCTTCATGATTTCTTTCTAAATTATTCGTTTTATACAGATATTTACAAAATATGTGTTATCTCTTTTAATGCACAGACATTATATCTCTTCATAATCAATGTTTACCACCACCACCCCCCCACCCCCCCCCCCCCCCCACCCCCCCCCCCCCCACACACACACACCCCACACCCCACCCCTTTAGCCATGATATGTGTGATAAAACATCAAAATCATTTAGTTATGACCTTGTTTGGGTTTCTATGTGGTCTGCAATGGCACTTCCTGTACCACATGTAGTAGGTGCAAAACTGACCAAACACCAATTGACTTTAGCTTTATTTTTAGTCATTTTGTTGTTGTTTGTAATGTTATGGAAATGTTAATGTTATGTTGCATAAGTTATGTTCCCTTATTCTATTAAGTATTAAAGACTTCAATATTTTTTGGAAAATGAATGTTTTGGTTTTGGTTTCTCAAGATGTTTTTATCTCACATGGACAAGGTATATATTTCTGAAATGCTTATGAAGACAGCTTTCATTTGATATGCATCATGACTTAATTGGAGAAAAAAAATCAACAACAAAAATCATAATCTCACATAAGTGCTTCGGAGTGGCCTTGACCCCCCTGACCTTTTGGGTCAAATTTGACCGTGTTCCACCACTCCGATTTTGGTAGAATTTTATATTATTATAAAGGGATAAATTCTGAGTGTAAATCAGTTGAAATCATTTCTGTTGCAATTTGTGGTGGGTGCCTTGCTATTTTGACTGGACTACGTGGTGATTCCTGGTTGTAATAGCACCCCAATTAGCTATGCTCGTAACAGTCAGTTTATGTGAATCGAGTGTTCATTCTGTTGTCATTACTTACTCATGTTATCCCACTCATTTACAGTATTAAAGAAGTTGTTATCCACAAAATTATGACTACTTTATCATCCGTCAACTTTTAAGTAATGCCTATCAAACAATTCACGTTAATGGCGTGGTCAGGCTCAGTGACTTAGCTGATTGGATGAAATTGTGTTCAACGGATGTGACGTTGATAGTGATGTCTGACCCAGACTTCATTACTTACATGGCAAGCGTGATACAACTGGACCATTGCTGAAAGAGGCGTGTAAACACAAAATTCAAACAGACATTACTTCAGACATTACTTCAGAAATACAATAAATATGTCATATATAAATATGTAAATGATCTGCTCAGTTTTACAAGAGGGAAATGACCGCCTCCGTGGTCTAGTGGTAGAGCGTCCGCCCGGAAAGCGGAAGGTCCAAGGTTCGATACCCGACCGCGTCATACCAAAATACGTTAAAAGATGGTTCTTGTTGTTACCCTGTCTGGCGCTCGGCATAAAGGGGCTAAAACAAGAACTGGTCGGCTCGGAGTCAGTATACTGTGTCTGAGTGGGGTATTCATGTTAAACTTCGACATGGTATCTCAGTGAGCTAGCACTATAAATCGGCATTAGTCCGGACTAGTACAAGCAGCGTACACACACACATGCACGTCGCTATGTAAGTTCAATAATTTTGGACGCGACGTTAAACCCCATTTAACTCCATTTAACCACCTCGCCTACAAGAGGGAAATAATGGAAACTTTGTTGTCTTCTCTTGTCTTGTTACAGAACACGTTCATCTCATCGAGGGACAAACATAGTGGAGTATTTTCATCAGTGGATCAGCCACACGTGACACAGTCAACTTTGCAGGTAAGATAAGGAGTGAGTGAGTGAGACTTTTAACAGTATTCCAGTTATATCACGGCGTGTCAGCTTAATGTGGGAGGAAAGCCCGAAGTGATGCAGGTCTCAGACGTTTACTACTTCGATGAAACCCACGAGCACGGGTATGGTGCTGACAAACCTAGAAACATAATTGGGGCGAGGCGGGGTTCGAACCCACAATCATAGGTTTCTGGCGTGCCCAAGGGACGCAACTCGCGGCACCTTTAACGACTGGACCTCCCTCGCCCCTAAGATAAGGCATTTTGTTTGACAAGAAAATGAGAAATGTTCTTTTTTGAATTAAGTATGTTCAACTTCTCCTCGATGACACAGTATTTTTCAGAAATACGATAATGAACATTGTCCACGATCTTATTCTGATAACCGTCGTGTCATTGAGGTGGACGGAAAGTGATCTAGGCATCAAGTGTTATTTCTACATGTTATTTTACTCGTCTGAAATATCGATTATATATTTAGGTATACATGCAGTGTTTCATCACTAAATGCATAATAAACGTTAGCATTTTACATGAATCGCTAGTGTATTTAAAAGTTTGATATGTTTTATCCTCAACAACTACTCACCAGTTTCTAAAGGGATTCCTTTTAAATGCTGCCACAAATCTTGTCCCGGCATGTGGGGTATGTCTTGAGACTGTGACTTGAATGGGTAATTTTAATGTCTGTGTTCATTACCTGTCTGTCTGTCATGGAACCTTACTTATAACACGACGGACCTGGTTAATTACCAGTAGTAGGAGTAAGCGAGTGCGGCGTCAAGGCAACACTCACATTTTATGCAAATGGTGTGAGCGGTGGGTGGAACTTGTAGGACATGCTTACCCTTTTCGCGAACACCCGGTGTCGTCACATATTTTCACTGATCCGTTTATATAGTTTTACTGCCTTTTACGCCCAATGGGGTGAGTTGTGTTTAATCTCATTAAAATCAGATCAAAGTACTCGCTGCCGCTTAACATTCTGAAATGTATAAATAGACACAATCTCATTAAAATTAGATCTTAGTTCTCGCTATCTCTAAACAAATATCTGAGGACATCCCATTACGGGTCACGTCAGAACGACCTTTGGCGAACTTTGACCGACCACTGAAATGACTGACAAGAAGTCGACATCAGCCAATTAGAAAGCAGCTTTCTCGATCTTTACGGCACTCGTTTCAACCTACCAACTTCCATTTGAGACTACACTTGACAAATATGTTGACAAAGTCCTCGATTAAAATTTTGAAAACTTAACAAACGAACATTCCGGAATGTCTAATATTTGGTTGGGATTGTATGGCAGTGCTTCCCACGTACTGTGCAACGCCTCCTTCTTTCAAATGTTTATCCCACGGAAACGAGAGATAGACGACAGAAACAGTCGTACGGGCCGTAACTGTCGTTCGGAATACCCCGTGTTAACGTTTTCGAGGTTGCATTTATCAAAAAACACATTCCGAGTGTCACTTTCCTGAATTGGTAAGCGACGCTGTAATTGGTCGGATGAAAGGTCGTTCTGACGTGACCTGTAATGGGATGTCCTCATAACTTTGTTTAGCGATAGCGAGAACTAAGATCTGATTTTAACGAGATAGAGTTGTGTTTTACGCGCTTTTAACAGTATTCCAGTTATATCACGGCTTGTCAGCTTAATGTGGGAGGAAAGCCCGAAGTGGTGCAGGTCTCAGACGTTTACCACTTCGTTGAAACCCACGAGCACGGGTATGGTGCTGACAAACCTAGAAACATAATCGGGGCGAACAGGGATTCGAACCCACAATCATAGGTTTCTGGTGTGCTTAAGGGGCGCAACTCTGCACAGCGAATCGCTGCGCCCTACACGGCTGGGCCACCCGTGCCCCCGTAAAGGTCTAAGACCTGCATCACCCACATCAATCGTTTTTTATAGAAAGTCCTTAAATTTGTACCTGCATTTAAAAAGCACATTTAGTTGTGGTGTACCATTACTCATAAATACCAAAAGGCATAGCCGTTCTTATATGTTCTTAGATGTAGGAGCACACTGTTCATGTAAATGTAATTGTAATTCCTCCCACACCAAACTGACAAGCCGTGATATAACTGGAATACCGTCCAAAGCGGCGTTAAAACCCTACTCACTCACTTACTCACGCAAAGAGACGTTTAAGTATATAGTTGGCAGCCCCTGTAAAAAATGTCACATTGAGAAAGCAAACTGATGTCAACTCTGTCTCCCTAAATACCTTTTAACCTTATCAATTAGCATACACGCAGAGAAATCCAAGGACACGTGATGGCTGACCTTGGCACTGATTATGGACGTGTGTGACGTAACGTCAGCTACCTCCACTCGTGATTTGATGGGT